ATCTCTTTCCTCTCTACTCATCTCACCACCGAGATCACTAGTCGAAGGAGCTTATTCAGCAACTATCCAGGCTAGTACTCATACTACTACAAGTAATATCCCAAAAGTTTTGGTGATAGATTGTGCGAGTACCATATTACCCCCTTCGCCTCCTGATGAGGTGGACGTGGATTTAGACTTGGAAGTGGAAATTGGGAGTGGGGGAGGGACAAAAGAATTTGGCAGTGATGCGGAAATGTTGGTAAGAGCTTTATGTGCAGAAAGGGGATGGAATGCGTTGATCAGTAGGAAGGGGAGAGGATGTTTAGCTTGTGCGGTTAGAGAGGCCGGGGCAATAGGATGGGGGGTTGTGATTAGAGTTTAGGTGTGGCGAACTGAAGGAAGAGGGTGGATCTGTAGATTTGGAACAGGGAGAGAATGTGTGTTGTGGATATGCGATGTGGAGGGATGCAAAGAGAAGGAAGTGGATGGATGGTTATATTGTTTTCACAAAGTGTTGTTAGGTCTTGTTGAAGCGTTATGTTAAGTGATACCCGCCTTGAGGCAAGAGCCAATTAGTTAATAGTAATTCATGGATTGAAAGATATGGGTTGGCTTTATGAGTCTTTTCTCTTGTGTTTTTTTCTGGGAGTAAATCGTGATTGTATGTGTGATGGTATAATGGTGTGCGTTGATGATGTGGTAATGTATACGAGGGAGGGGGGGAGACCACTCGTAGGCGAAAAAAGAGGAGAGGAGAGGAATAGAATGGAGTAAACTTGATTAAATATAGTAGAAGAAAACCATGTATGAGAATTGCTTGTTGATTGTATGTTTGAGATACATACCTACCTAGGTAGGTTCCTTGGAATCGCAATTTTGGTCTTTTGGTTGCTGAGTGAAAACGTGGTTGATATATACCTGGTACGTATGACCTGGGAATTTCTCCCGGATATACGTTCGTTATCTGGCGCGTGTGTGTTGAATGCTTGGGTGTGTGGTTGTGGTTGTGGTTTTGGGTTTGGGGATGGAATGGTAGTGATAAGAATGACTGTGTAAAAGACTGGCAGTTTTTATTGGGGGAGGTAGAGAGTATAAGTATAATAGTAGAGGGGAGAAAAGGGGGGAGGGACATGAAGTTGTATTTTGTATTTCTAGGGAGTAGGTATTTGGATTATTGGGAATGGTTCTCTGAGTTGTAGTAATTTCGATCTGTATGCCGCATCGTGCCTGATGGTGTCCGTAGGTACGCAAAGCTCATCAGATCTTGTTTCATTTGCAAGCTCTCCTTTGAACCTGGATGTTTCGATCCCATTCTTGAGATTTGGCTTGGAGCGTGCGGCACGCACGAAATCATTCATAGATTGCTCTTTTCTTTGTGTTGATTGCTTCACAGTGCATTCAATATGATTGATTCGGAATTGAGGACTCTCTGGCTCCTAGAAGCAGTCGGATAGAGACTATAATCCGTGATGTTTCTCAGAAGAAAGCTTTTTGTGATGTCGTTGACTTGGAGTTGCACTTGTGTATCTTTCTTGGAAGAATCACTCTGGTGACCTGTTCTAGCTAAAGTATCAAGGGATGAGTGTTGAAGTTGGAAGGACGGGAGAGCACAATATACTTGTTCGAAAGGAGAATCGAAATGCGTTTTGGCTCTTATGAAGAACGCAATGGTTTGCAGCTATCTGAATCCAGTTTCGTTAAGAAGAGTATGAGCTTGGGCCGCATAATGAAGCATTTGTCTTCCAATCAGAGAGCTTTTGAATTTCTCACACATCGATATATCGATTGAAGAGACTGTTCTGTGGCCGATACTAAAAGCACATGAAAAGTATCATTAATGGGTATATCAGAGGATTTGGAAAGCTATATCTGTTAAGGGTGTTTGATTTGTGAGCGTAACCATTCATCCGAGTCGGTGTGGGTCTTAATCGAGGGGTAATCTATTTTCCGTCGCAAAACCATTTTTCGATATCTTGGAATACTCAGGTGCTACGTTTTGCTAATACCTTTTTTCTATCTGGATGACATCTTTGATTTCGACATATCTTTTCAAAGATTGTGTTAACAACGATTCTCAAATTTGTATCACCCGGAGATGTAGTCGAATTTCTCACATTCGATAATACGCCACATATATGAACTCATATAAACTCGTTCCCATCTTTGCGTCATCAACAAAAATACCTGGCATTCGTGCCTGGCAAAGTTCATGATTCTGGAGATGTATAAAGTCCTGTGGCAGAGAGCATGCACAGAGAGTCTAGGGCGAGATTGTGTGACTTGATGCAACCGGAACAACTTATTTAACCGCCAAGATAGCAGCACATGCCAGCCTGGATATATAGCAATACCAACACCTTTGTGAATGCGCGTCGTGTCGAAAATGCCGAGGGACTTACAATACCGAAACACTCATTCCGCTTCCACTTATAGACTCGGTATGGTTCTTTCCAACCGGCAAGATTCAATTCGTCCCGATGCTACAGGTCTTGAGATAACATGACGACTGGCTCTACATATATAGACCAGCAGCATATCTAACGCACCTTTCTTTGTTTCTCAGCTCGGAACTCATACATTTCTATGACCCAAGCTGGGCGTAGTGTGAGTATCATCTCATAAGGAAGATATGTCATCCCAAGAAGTTTTGAAGTGCCTAGTCTGAATTGAAGATTTGTAGCTTAGTAGCTGCTTGAAAGTTTATCTGGAAAAGAATCATCTGCTCTGAATGTACTATGGAGATGTTGAAACGATTGTCTGCCATGATGCGCGGTGCGGGACTGTCGGTGCACCTGGCTTTCTACCCTTGCACACTACTAGGTATGTGTGGAATACAACAGTTATCATTGATAACACTGTTGTAACGCGACAAGGGGGAAATTCACAGTAACATGCTCGTCATGTGATGAGTTCGTTTCCGAGCGAATATCGAGGATTAAAGTTTCTGCTATTGATCATGATTGATTACGAAATGCGGATTCGGACGATTGGTGAACTTGGTGAAAGTATAGTTTCCCAAGGTTTTATGATATCAAGCAACTTGCATGAATTTTTGCTAGTGGTTCTTTGCAAGGCTGTATTCCAACACTTGTTGAATGTTTCAAATCAATCTCGGTAATCCATCACGCGTAAAGAAACCAAACCCGAAGCATATTCCATACTGAAGTCGGAACTCGAAGATTGCAGAGGCGTGCTTTATGAGTCATTGGAAGGAACTTTGTTGTATTAATATTTAAGGAAAATTGAAGGAAATCCATTCCTCAACCGATACATCGACTCGATACGAATACCATGCAGGCTGAGATTTATCAGCCTCAATTCTAAGTGTCAGGTCGACTTTTCGTCATCTCTTTTACCCCTGACATCATATATGGCACAGGCAAAGATCTTGTCACTACCCTGCCTGATTCTTCTTTTCCACAGGTCAACTATTTTTGTTGAGACCGTCGACTGAGTTGTCACCAGCTATACTCGAAGGATCCAATACCAAGGAAGGAAGAGTCATATTGCCGTTGATAAGATTATCCACTAAATAAATTACATAGTAAGCCAGAGGCTCATACAAGATTTGAGCGCCCCATAGATTCTAGAACTTCTCACCCCGGAAAGACGCGTTTTGGTTCTAGCTGGACGCAGAGAGCTTTAAATTACGCCAATTCTTCACAGTTATGTAGTCCCATCCCGGACTGATAGCTGTATGAGTCTGCGTGGCGATGTTGTTTAATTTCCTCTTCGCTGAATTCTCTGTCTCCTTTAATATTCTTGCTACATAGAATTGTCCATGAATTTATAAACTGAAGAATGATGTACAGCTAGGCCACAGTAGATCAGTCAACACTGGAAAATGTTATAACCGCACCATAATGAGTGTGGAGGGCTTCATTTTACGTTAGCGTCGCCAAAGTAGGTCAGTATCCCCGGTCATCCAATACGCCTACCATTAAAGCAGGGCGTAGCAAGTGCACAGATACTGTTGTATTGATACTAGCCTTGGAATAAGTTTATAAGATACTACGCGCCACAAAAGAGCCCCCTAGGAGGAGTGATATTGCAATTTCAAACCACCAGAACTATAGGAAATCGAAATACTTGCGTTTTGGCATCACCCATTTAATCATGACCAGTCCATGATCTACATTTCATACTTGAGCCCTGGTAAATCATCCATGATACGGATATGTGCCGTGCCGTGCCGGAAACCAATTAGCTGGTACGTTCTTTCCTTCATAAATTCTGTCACAATTCGTTTATCTATAACTATTGTGTTGCCTTTGAAGAATAATACGTGATCAAGATTGTGTCCTTCCATGGGCGAGGTTTCTGAGGGAAGAGAAGCTACCCAGTCTCTTGGCAACGATGTTTTGCGGGATTTGTTTGGAGAAGGCCCTTCCAGACAGCTCATAGGATATACGTGGTAGCGCCCTTAGGAACCCGACTGCAATAGTATGGATAGATAATCAAAGCGTACATTAATTGCTTGCAGCCTCAACATCCTTTAATTTGACCTTTATCAAGGAAAACTGTGGTTTTGTTACACAGAAATACGTTACTACTTTCCTGGATCCTTCAACGGGGCCCACTACAGTCAGTATTTGTTCACCATGGAAGATCTGATTTGCTGGTTTTGGCCACAAAACTTATCATATTCTTTGCTGCATCGTGAGCTTCCATAACTTCACAATTTGGTCTTCTCCTTTTGATATTTACAGCTGCTTCTGCAGCTCAACCTGGTCTTTGCAGTTAACCGGCGTGCCAAAAACGAACATGATCGCTTTCACAAGCATAAACCTGAGATTGAGTGATGGCCTGAATTTGATTGAAAGATCACTGGGAGCTTTGTGACAGTATATTAAGTCATGTCGTCCTGGACTTGTTTTCTGTTTCCCCAAACTTCAATAGAATCGCATCCGCAAAATCCAAGAACATTCAATACCACACAGACTCCGGAAGAGAAATCAGCATTCAATTCGTCAATCAATTTATACTCATATACCGACAGCCTAGCGAAACCCAACACAATGTCCCCAAGCAAAGTATTCAATGACATACCGGTGAACTACCCAGATGTTCAGCCATCCGGCCCTCCAAAACCAGTATTACTGTCATTACTTTATAATTTGATGATTAGCTTTCTAACACTGCTCCAGTTTTCTGATCAACAACAAAAGGCAAATGCGATCGTTTTCAAAACCACGCCCACGGATAAATGTTGGATCGGCGTCTTCCCAGACGCGAAAGTCCATTCGAATGAGCAAGTTACTTGGTCTAATGGTCTGGCAAGAGGTGACTCGAAGAGAAGAAGCGATTGAACAATAATTTCAAGGAGACATAGATGACCCTACTGGACACAATTTTTTATATATAAATTAAGTTCTTATGCTCAATGAAAATATAGAGATACTCAGGCTAGAATGGTTCTACTTCAATTTTATGTTGAAAACATCTCGTTCGAAGATCTCAAATTGGCATTCGCCCATGATGGTCGGGGTTTTGTGGAAGATATTTCAGACATGAAACTAGTTTATTCTATACTCCGGTGCCTTGGGCGTCATATTTGGGATGATGTGTACTTTATAGAGACAGTCAGTGGATGAATTGATTATTTTTAATACTTTCAGCTATTTGTGCGTCCTTGGAGAGGACGATGGGATTTCTTTGGATTTACACTTTATTTAGAAGGAAAAGTTGGCACTTTTCTATTGTTAAGTTCGAATTATAAATTTCAGTTTATCTAGCAATATATTTACATAATTGAGCAACCGGGCGTTATACTTGTAGAATAGGACATCCCGTCTCTCTAAGAAGTCGTCAATTTGGCCCAATGAAACATCGCGATCACGAGTTTTCAGAATTCGTTCTGATTGGACACAATATTTCATTGGATAAATAAGTAAAAGTTTCATTTCCCATTCCCCAATCCCGTAGATTTGTCGACCCTCAAACTTCACGATGGAAAAATTTGTAGTTACCTCCCGCACCACTTAAAAATTCTCCAACAAAGAACTAACCTATCGGCTCGCATAAAGATAACAATGAATCAGGCTTGCGACGATTTGAGGTTATCTTCAGATGGCTAAAGAATGAACCCCTCTCATTTGTTCGCCAACGAGTCATGATGGTGTGCTGGTGTTGCATTTTGCTGACATGAACCAGAGCACTGGGTCTACAGCCTTGAGCATTGGGCCGCAAAGTTGCCTCCCTATTTGAAGAAGTGAAATTTTCACGATGTCTTCAATTTCGTTTCGTATATATCGAGTATTTAAATCTCGTCATGGAGCCCGACCTTGAAGGTACTGCGGAAGCCCCTCGCGCGAAAGCAGCAGTGCGTATTTCTCAACAACATGATAATACTGCCGATGATATTGAGCGCGAGGCTGTGAAAAGCTCGCAATCTCTTCAGTTCGAGGGTATTCGTCGTCGCAATACTGATCAGTATGCTGATGCTGTAAGAGAGAGCACAACATCCTCAGCTGACACGGAGAGAACCTTGTCCCAAGAGAAATTAAGGAAAAGTAAGGATACGCCTAGCCACGATGAGTTAATGGAGAATTTGAAGAAAGACTACATCTGTAAGCATCGAGATGATAGATTCCACATTAAATCATGTGAGCTAACAATGAATAGGGGAGGATTTCGAAACTGGTATTCCAAAGCTTGCTCGTTTTCAAGGAACCCACAAAGACTTCGCGATCTTCCGTGCATTCCACGAAAACCATATTCGTATTTTGATTCATAAAGAGATTGAGCTTACAGATATTGCACGAAAACTTCGGAAAAGGGACGATAAGGACCTTGCAGCATTGAACACACCGGCGTTCTATAGATTGAAGGGACACTTACATGAACAAGAGAGGGAAGAAGTTGTATCTGACGATAATGAGAGCCAGTATCGTTCATGGACCAAAGATACACTCATGTCTCTATTGGAAACTAAACAAAAGCAATATGGTTAGTCCCGATTCATGCATCACCGAGCACTAGTGACAATCCAAACAGATGAGGTATTGCTGGCATATGCCAAAATTAACGCTCTTCACCGCCCCCCAAAAAGATGTTATGATTCGGTTTTCCATTGGATATTGAATATCCGGCCCCTCGGCGTTAGTCGTCTCAATGGCAATGAGGCAGAGGAATTCATGTATCATCATAATGACTTCATCTCTTTAAACAACAGAGAGAGAGACAACCCTTTCAAAGAAGTGCTTGGCAGCCATCTTTTCAAGTATCCTGGGTCGCCTCTAAAGGTGAGATCTTCTTTCCTCCCGATTATTTGCGAGTGTGCTATTACATTGCTTCGTAGTCCCAAATGCGAGTGAAAACAATGAAACGCTGATACTTCTCAGCAATTTCTCAAGACAAAAGGCGATGAACAAACATCATATTACGATGAAGAATTGCAGTCGGGCTTGGCCTAGATTCTGTCGCTGATTGTCCTAACCAGCATGCTCATTGCTCCCATATGTCTTTTATTCTTGCTTGAGCTTTCTCGTGGGCTCATGGTATTGGTGGTATTGGTCTTCACTATTCTGGTATATATCGTTGTGACTCTTGGAACGCCGGCCAGCCAGTTTGAAGCATTTGTAGCGACTGTTGCGTAAGTGTTGGTTGACCGAGTATTGTGCATTCTGCTAATGTCAATAGATATTGTGCCTTTCTAGTCCAGTTCTTGGGGAATCTTGGACGTGGGAGTTAGGGTTATTGAGATACAGAAATATTTCGAACTGGAGCCCTGATGTACATAGGAGGAGAGATGAGAGAGTAGTTTCGATGGTCTTACTCTATTTCTTCATTCATGTATTCAATCAGCTCGCAGGCTTATGCTGGTGATGGAATGGTATAGATGCGAATTAGTCGCTCGTTTTTGCGTTAATATTTTGAGGTCATAGTAGTGGGTAGTTTGATAATTGTGTAGATAGAAAAATATTCCCAAGAATGAAGTGCTTCCGAGAAATTAGTGAGGTCGTACGAATGAGTCTCGGCTGTGAGTGAGCCGGCTTACTGGTGGGCATCATCCGGGTGGTTCATCAACCTTCCGGCTCGAATTTTGTCTCCCAGGAAACCACCACTACCGACGTACCGTAATTTGCTGACATATTAATATGTTACCCGGTCGGAATCAGGGAATACTTTACCTAGTGTTTAATCTCACCCTTGTATGATCTAAATACAGTCACCGAGTTGTCCTAGCATGGGGATATGACAGGCATAGTTGCCAGGCTATCACCCATGCTAACTTGAAAATCCCAGAGCCCTAGAATAATTAGTAGTCCATGGCCATTAAATTTTTGTGTCTAAAATAAATAAAAAGAATGTGTATATATACAGGTGGTGTTAATTTTTTCAAATATATTGATTAATAGTATTTCAGAGGCTACTATTGATTACTACATAAGGAGAAGTTGATTCAGTGTTCATACTAACAATACATTAGATTCGATATTGTGTTCGGTAAATGCATTTATTTGAGCTAGTGTATATTGAGCCTCATGTTGCGTTCGGTAAACAAGATATTAGACCTAATAGGTCTAACCTAGAAAAAGAAAATCGAGCCGAACGTGCCCTAACCATTTTACGAGATTAGATCCATCTTAGATTTGATGTAGCCCGATTGATTTTAGTGTGAGCAGTGGGGGCTAAACCCTATCATAAAACTGTTGAGAACAAGCCCTGGAGGTCAACTATTGCACAGGCCATTGTTCAATATGCTCTATGGAAGCGACCGTCGCTCACGACGAGGATAATTATTTACATGAAAAAGATTTGTAAGGATTGTCTGGCGGTTCTTATGGTGTTTATTCAAAATAAATCAGGGTAGCGGTCCAAACTAAGAGTAACGGAGAAAAGAAAGAGAAAGTCGCAATTTTTAGCCCAAGAAATTTTTATATTTGACGCGTAATGAAAAAGATGATCAGCCTGTTGCAGAGAAATAGCTAGAAAAATGTATGATCCTTCCTCCCCCCCCCCCCCCCCCCCCCTGTTCTATTGATTTATTTCGACGGTCCAACTGTCAATTCTGCCGCTCAAAGATCTCGCACAAAGGAAGAATTGGAATTTCTAAGAACTCCAATTGCTCCCACCTCTTGAACGAGATCGATTAATCATCCATTCTTACTCGATCTCCCAGATTCTTTTCAGATCCTTGATCCAATCACTAATTTTCACCTCCTTTGGACTACCCGACTCATCCATTACCCTTACCATTCCTTTGCCGGCTACATTCTCGTCATTCCATGGTGGAACATGTAACCAACTATGTTCAGGACGACAAATCCATCTGGCCAAGCGGTTTTTCTTAAACTTTTCCAAACAATTGCTACAAAATGTTATTTGATGGCATGATTTGCATACATAGAAATCATCTGCGTATGTCCACTCTTTTCCGCATGCACCTTCACATGACATGTATATTGGTCCATTTCTGCTACTTTCAATAGGATGTTCTTCTAGACCATCGCCATCATCATTATTTCGTATCAAAGCATCTGCTGGACATATCAAAGACCAAGCACTGAGCGCATTGTGATCATCTCAGGTGTGACTAAGGATTAATGTCAAACTTTGATACCCAATTACATCATTTTCTGGATCGTCATCTTCTAATATAGCTATCGCAGTGACCATATCATCTCTGAACATATTTCGTGCTTTGGCGAAGTCCTTGAACTGCGAATAGTATGATGCAAGTAGCGGCTTTTTGGTGTATAAAAGAATTGATTTCCACATCCAAGCTAAATCGACCGGCAAATCATTTTTCTCGGCTTCTAGTGCATCCAACAATTTCTGTTCGTTAAGTAGATGGTGATTGTTCTGTCTACTTATGATAGCAAGTTGGAAATGTGCCATTAATTGAAACCGCAAAGTAGCGTGAAGCAGCACATAATGCTCGAAAGATTTATCGGATAAAAGATTTAGGATGTGCCTGCAACTATTCCAACGATTGAGTGAATGTCGAAATTGTTCTAAATTCGTTTCAACGCCTCTAGAAATCAAAAGACCCTCGTAAATTAGCAAGACTGCACGATGTAATTCGTTTTCTGCTCGAGTTGCTGCTTCGACGAATGCTTCAAGTGTAATTTCGCTCGATACCGTGCTAGAACGTGCTAGATTAATGACATAATATAAAGAATTTTGACCGCGGAATAGGTCAGTCAAGTCCAAGTTCTTAGCTATGTCAAGAAGGAATTCGGAGAACTCCCTCATATCAGGCTGTTGTTGAGAGTTCAAGACCCAATCTTTGAGTTCAAACATCACACTGCTTGCTTCGTCATTTTTGTCTTCAGCACAAAGAATCTTAAGAAGATCTGAACGAATTCTGTGCTCCTGAGGATTGAATTCGAGAATTTCCTTGTAGAGGGCAATTGCTCCATCGATTTTCCCCATATTTTTCTGCCACGAAGCAAATTTTGTCAAGGTTCGAAATAGTGCCTCGCTAAGGCTCAGGGTCTCCCCTGGCGGATTATTTTCCATTTGCATCGATTTCAGTGCTTTGATAGCCAATTCCATCTCAGAGGAGGCACACTCCATCCAAGATTCATCAGATAGCTGATTCAACTCGGCATATGACAATGCCTGAAATTCATGCACCGTCCAGTGGCAGGATGGAAAGCTTTTAGCTTTGTCGAAATACTCAATCGCCTTTGTGAATTTATTGGCTTGAAAGAACGTTTGGCCGATACGTTCGTACCACAGTGAGTCTTCGGTCATGTGCAGTAATTTCCGGGCCCATGTCGCTCGGCTTAGGATCTTTCTGCATTCTGGATCTTCTTCAGTGTTCAATTCTACTTCTGTTGTAGATTCCAACCTCGAGTCGTCAATCTTTGTATCATTGATACAGTCGGCATTCAATTTTTCCTGCTCTCATCAGCATGAAACAGAAAAGAGAGAAGGTAGCATAAACTAACCATATCGACAAAACTATCTACCCATTTATATGCTTGATAAGGGTTACAAGTACGACTTGGATCCCGCAGCCATTTCTTGGCCACCATGAACGTGATAGGTCTATAAAAATCTGCTTTTTCTTCGGATCTTGTATGCTCTTTTACCCAACGCCTTTCTCTCGGCTCAAGTTGAACGATTATATTCTCGTCCTTGATAAAGTCCCGAATGATTCTCACGCTCTCAGGATCCCACCAGAATTCGTGCATATTTTCTGTGGCATTCCAGTATTTCTCGATTGCCTCAACATCACTAAGGAGATCCACGAGTCTTTTCGCAATAACTTGAATCATGTGCCCCTCTATCTTCCCTTTATCAAGTAATAATGCTTTCTTTATTTGTCTAATGTGGCTAGGAAGATATTCAAGGGCATAATTAACAAGAGGTTCGGTTTTATCGTTAGGCTTTTCATTCAAGAGCTTTAGGAGTTGTTCGGTTATGTGGCAATGGGCTTGGATCTGGGTGGAGTTGATTTTGATCTTGTTTTCGTTGTCAGAATTACTGGGGGAGAAATCAAATTTCCCAGTTACAGTTTTCTCTGTGAGATCCCAAAAGAATCTCTGAACCGAATACAGGTCGGCTCGATGTATAGATACTGTCATGCTTATTTTGGCATTTTCGATGTCGTACGCAGAAGTTTTCCCCATAGGCACGACGCTCGAATCCGATTCTTTAAATAAAGATTCAATTGAATCACACACTCTCACAGTGTCTCTTTTCAGGTGAGGAAAAACCCTACCGAATCTTTCCTTCAACTTCCTCTCTAAAGGTTGCACGGGCAATTTACCCGAGCTTAGCCAAAGTGCCGCCCTGATTTGGTCAATGCTGAAATATTTGTAGCCGAAAATAGCCCAGTCAAGAATCTCATTCAACTGCCTAATATCGCGGGCACTGAGGGAGGTGTTGAGATCGGTAATGATCTTTTGTGCCATTTTATCCAGGTCTTTGGATGGATCCTGATCCAGAATTGCTTCAATATCATTTGAATACGCATCAAATTTAATAGCTTCCGTAATTCTGGTTAATTTCTGGATGATAACCGAGAATGATCCTTTAGCAACTTTTGGGAGTTTCTCACGAATAGATTGACGAAGTCGCATCATCTCTATATCCTGACCTTGAAGAGAACTGAGTCTATTCAACTCTTGTTCGATAAATGACTTGATATCATCCATAGTATGGTCGGTGATGCGAATGTGTAAATTTAGACGATTGTAATCAATCATTCCAGTAACCAATACGCGTAGTTGAAGTCGACTTTCCTTTCCCAACGAACTACTACTTTTCCTCAACAACTCCAAAAACTTATCAGCATTATCCTCCGACAGCTGATCCAGTCCATCTAGCAGGAGAAAAATATTCAAAGATTCTTGGTTCTCAGGATCTTTAGCGAATCGCAACTTATCCCACCATTGTTGTACTGCAGAGCACTCTCGCGTATCTGAAATCCGGAGATCTTTTTCTTTAAGTTGCGACAGTGCGGCTGCGTATGCCTTGCTCTGAGTTGCCAATTGCAGGGCCATTGATTTCAAAGCATAGACCACATCATCTTTGCTTACAGTTTTGGTGCTCTTACTATCCACCCCTGTGAAAGCGTGGTATGCAATGGCCAAGTTTGCTATTTTTCTGTTTCTCAAGTCCTCTTCGATTGATGCCACGAGGCAGGACTTTCCGGTCTTGATTGCCCCAGACACGAACAATAGCCGGAAAGGCGGCCTGGGAGCGGAGTCTGATGATAGCCTGAGCCATTCATCGTATTCATTCACTCTAGATAGCCACTTGAAGCCGTCTTCTGGAAATTGTTTTCTGATTTCTTTGAGTTCCTCATTGGCTACATTTGACTTAGCCAATCCTTGGTGTATCGACAAGAGTCTTGAATTTTCTCCACACGATCTGATATGATCTTCTCATTCCTTTGGGCCTTGACGTCATCCTTCACGTACGTGACTCCGTCTGCAATGCGACTTTGCTTTTCTGAAATTGAATCCTGTCTTTTAAGCATTTTAGCAATACCTGCAGAATTATCGAGGATTGTTTTCAAAGTAGTCACCCCTGTGAGGTCATTTTGCTTCGCAATCAATTCTTTAAAATTTCTCAGTTCCTCCTTCACACCCGAGTCATCTTTCAAGAAAGTGACCTTTAATACAGTCTCAACTTTGACAAGTTTGCCACCATCGATGCTAAGTGTGTGTCAGCTTCAGTCTTGAGGAAACTAACGGATATTGTAGAGGTATTCTTTTCAGGAGTGAACTAACATGTTTATAGCTAGACCGAAAATTCTCACTATTGAAACCATGAGCTTGTGAATTCCATTTTTGAGTTCCCGATCAAGTTTCTTATAGTCCTTGTAAACATTCAGAAGAGCCATAGCGTGTGTAATCTCTTCGAACAAGTTTCCCAGGCCTTCATACACCTCAGCGACCTTCTGAGGAATCTCAATCAGGAAAGAAATAGCATTGAAGCATAACTTTGCAGGAGCAAAGACAGTGGATGCGGCTTCTGCGGCTAGACCGCCAAGGAATTGGATGCATTCTAGAATCTTCCCAATAGCATCTTTGATCTTATACTTGGTACTGGGTTGTACCCCATCCTCGGGCTGGAATTTTTCCTTAAGCTGTGCCAAAACATCCTCGATCTTTCTCGGAGGGATTGATGCTAGTTTTCTGTTTGTATTTTTATGGAATTCGCTCTGAGCCTCATCCCACAACTTTTGAAGCTCTAGATCTACTGTTTGAGATTCGGCGGTGACTGTATGGAGTCCCGTTTTGGGCTCCATGATGGCTGTCCAAGAACAATGCGATGATGATGTTGGATCGTAGGTTATAGGAAAAGATGAAAACAAATACAAGACCAGTTGAAGCTCTTCTTATGGCGGCTGGAAGCGGAGATGATATGTGAGGCGGGGATTAATTCTCCCACTTCAAGCGAAGTGCTTTGGTGTGGGTGGTATTCGGCTCCAAAACCAGTACAAAGCGGCTGTAGATGAACCACTGAACAGCGCCTTCACAGCATTTCGCTTCTTGAGAATATTGAAACTAACCAAGTTTTTGCACAGCTGAATGATGAGTGGAAAGTGAGCATTATCCGAGATAAGATCAGACACTATTCAGCAGCTAATAGGATAATCATTATTGAATCAAGGTATAACTCGATACTCATCCCACTTTTTGACCACCCCTCCGTCGGATTTTATGAGAAGGTGGAAATCATGCCCCCAGATCGTGATCGCAACACGCAAGTCTTTCTATTCCTGGCTTTACTTGTACGATGATTATTGCATATCTTTCGCCGCCTGCAACCTTCCCCGCACGTCGTTTCGACGGTGCTTGTTGAATATGATAGCATAACTTATCGAATGGCGCACTTGCTCCTTTCATATCAGCTGAAAGATCGGCAGAACCTGTTATCCATGATTTGTAGTGATTGCACTTGTCAATTAATATCAGAACCTAAGGCTTCTTGGACTGCGAGAATCTTTCTTCGTGTAATTGTTGTGATAGGGATGAATCGGAGAACAGCCAGACTTGATTCTGCTCGATATCCACTGTATTGAACAAGTGGTCAAAGCTCACCGGGGATGCGGGAAGTTCACACCAGAGTGGAATTTCTGGGCCCGAATTTCTCCTTTCATCATGACCTCACTCAAATTTTTAAATAAAACATCCGCAATTGACAACTGTATTCGCTGGTTGACTCACTGGATGTGTGACTCTTGACCTAATTTATGGAGGCGCGAAAGAGAAATCCGCGCTTGTTTTAATGTTGCTTCAATTGTTGGTAGATTTCGAGTCAGCTCACTACATTATTTGTAACCGGGGAAGCTACCCACGCTCCCGTCTGAGAGCACCCAACAACATTGGTCCAAAGCAAACACGAGATTTGCTTCTGCCAAACATCCATTGACCCCATCTTATGTAGGTCGCCTTGGTTCAGTTTTTATGTGTTTTCATCTCTATATCTCATGGTATATCTCCTCAATTAATGAATCTGTGATTCTTTTTCTTCCCTTGTAGCTTTGAATGATTCCACAGTCTTTGAGCTGAGACGCACAGTTGGCATATCATCAGGTACAACGAAGCGGGATCAACTTCAATTTGAATACCGATCCAAAATGAATCGCAATAAAGAAGAGAATCAGAGCCGCGAAGGACTTCTGCGAGATTATGACGATAATGGACAAACGCCAATTCGGAAATCATTCGAAGATGCCTATCGAAATTCAGAGGAATCTGATATCGACGCCACGGATTATCTCAATCCGAATCACCCTCACGTTTCAGTGCCCGCATATCATACCAGCACTCAATTGAGTAATCTACGACGTACTTTGGCTCGACGGTCGAAATGTCTTATAATAACAATTCTCGTTGGAGTAGTGTTTTGGTCGGTTCTTGCTGGAGGAGGGTTCTGGTTATACAAGAAAACACCTGCAACTGGACAGTCGCCGCCATGGTACCCAACACCACCCGGAGGCACAGTATCACAATGGAGCGAGAGTTATAAGAAGGCCGCCGCCTTGGTTGAAAAAATGACGTTGCCGGAAAAGGTGAATATTACCACGGGTACCGGATGGCAGATGGGGCTTGCAGTTGGCAATACTGGTCCTGCATTGAATGTAGGTTTTCCTGGTCTCGCCTTGCAAGACGGACCCTTGGGGCTACGATTTGCCGATAATGCGACGGCCTTCCCAGCAGGTATCACTGTTGGAGCGACATTCAACAAGGAATTGATGTACAAGCGGGGCAAGGCACATGGCCAAGAAGCCAGATTGAAGGGAGTTAATGTGCTCTTAGGACCCTGTGTTGGACCAATAGGTCGAATGCCCGCAGGCGGGCGGAACTGGGAAGGATTCGGCACAGATCCATATCTTCAAGGTATTGCCGCAGCTCAAACCATCAAAGGCATTCAAGAAGAAGGCGTTATTGCTACGATTAAGCATTTCGTTGGGAATGAGCAAGAACACTTCAGACAAAGTTATGAGTGGGGATTACCAAATGCCATGTCATCTAACATTGACGATCGATCTCTGCATGAGCTGTATGGGTGGCCTTTCGGAGATGCTGTAAAAGCTGGAGTGGCCAGCGTTATGTGCAGTTACCAAATGGTGAACAACTCATACTCGTGTGGAAATTCGAAGCTGCTTAACGGAATTCTGAAAGATGAACTTGGATTTCAAGGCTTTGTTCAATCCGATTGGCTTGCGCAAAGATCTGGTGTAGCAAGTGCACTTGCTGGACTTGATATGACCATGCCAGGAGACGGCCTTGTCTGGGTTGATGGAAAATCTTTATGGGGCCCCGAGCTGAGTAAATCAGTTCTAAATGGGTCATTGCCTGTCTCGAGACTCAATGACATGGTGACCAGAATTGTAGCTGCTTGGTATCAGCTGGGACAAGATGATAAATCAAAATTTGATGGTGAAGGTCCCAACTTTTCCTCATGGACTAATGAAGAGAAAGGATACATCAATGCTGGAAGCGCTGATGATAAGGACAAGAAAGTTGTCAACAAATTTATCGATGTTCAAGGTACAGGCGATGAAGCGCATTCTATCATAGCACGTCAAGTAGCCACTGAGGGAACTGTGCTATTGAAGAACGAGGACAATTTACTACCTTTAGATAGGAATGGTTGGAGCTCACCAGAAAAGCATGAACTCGTATACAGAATAGGGATCTTCGGCGAGGATGCAAGTGAAGGTGAAGGTCCAAATGTGTGCCCAGATAGAGGTTGCAACAAAGGTACATTAGGATCTGGATGGGGGTCTGGCGCCGTTGACTTTCCTTACTTGATTTCTCCAATCTCAGGTATCAAGAAATCGTTCAACCCGGAACATGTCTACATTACTGTCTTTCCCACAAATTCTCCCCCATTGAAGAAGGCTCCAGCAATTATCAAAGACCAAGATATTTGCATCGTATTTGTCAATTCTGATGGCGGAGAAGGATATATTAGTTATGAAGGCATTCGTGGCGACCGCAATGACTTGAACCTACAGCATGGAGGCGAGAAACTTGTGAAACAAGTCGCTGAAGGGTGCGGAGGAGGGAAAGGTAACACGATTGTAGTAGTACATGCCGTCGGACCAGTTGTTATGGATGAGTGGATAGATCTGCCAGGAGTCAAAGCAGTGATAATGGCAAATCTTCCTGGACAGGAAAGTGGAAATGCAATTGCTGATATCTTACTCGGCAACGTAAACCCAAGTGGTAAGCTACCTTATACCATTGGAAAATCTTTGCAAGATTATGGTCCTGGTGGTCAAGTTTTGTACTATCCAAATGCTGTTGTCCCACAGCAAAATTTTACAGAAGGATTGTACATTGATTATCGCCACTTCGACAAATACAGCTTGGAACCTACATTTGAGTTTGGCTTCGGACTATCATACACCACTTTTGAATATACAAACCTCAAGGTCGATGCTATTTTACCCAAATCATCTTTCCCAGCCACTCGCCCAGACGGAATTCTTCCACCTACTTTCGATGAAAAGATTCCAGACGCTAGTGAAGCCCTGTTCCCTTCAAATATCAGGAAGCTCTCCAAATTTATTTATCCATATATTGAAAAGGTCTCGGATATCAAGGAGGGCAAATACCCATATCCAGAGGGTTATGACACCGAACAGACCCCATCACCAGCTGGTGGAGATGAAGGCGGCAATCCTGATCTCTGGAATGTTTACGCCACTGTATCGGTCGACCTCAAGAATACTGGGAGTGTGACAGGAAAAGAAGTAGCGCAGTTATACCTCGAATATGACAAAATTAGTGGTGAAGCTGCCAACATCGACTTTCCAATCAGGGTCTTGAGAGGATTCGAGAAAGTTGAACTTGCAAAGGATGAGACGACAACAGTTAAATTTGAGCTGACGAGAAGGGATTTAAGTTATTGGGATGTAGTCAGGCAGAATTGGGTCATGCCCACAGAGGGAAGTTTTACGATCAGGGTGGGTGCTAGTTCGAGGGATTTGAGGCTCACGGGATCTTTGTGATATGGAGTATAAGAAAGGCATGGAATCGGTGTTGGTGATTTTGATTGGGACGTCAGATGAACATGGATATGCATTTGGAACTGGATACTAAATTCTTCGCAACATAGCCAAAAATTGATGAAATACGTGGGTTTCTTAAAAGCATTTACATCGTTTGAGCTTTGTAGCCACCTTCTGGTTCTCTCTTTTCCTACAAATGAAGTCTTGCGATATTAAGATGAAGTTTGCTCGCTTTCCAAGTATTGTGGAAAGGTTCTGGTCTTGTGTGAATTATCTTGTGTTTATAAGTTCAAATTGTTTCCACAGGAGGGAAAAGTTCCATGTCTGATGATGCCATAGTTCCTTCTTTTCTCTTCCACAATGATGATTTGCTTATTTGTATGTATGTATGTATGAATAAAACTTATCTGTGCTATTTATTTTGCGTTTTATACAGAAGTCATGCCCTTTAATTACCCCTCTTTCAATTAAGACTTTCGTGGTACCCAAACACTTTATTTAGGTCTCACGCGAGATATCTCTCTGCTCCTCACGCGCTTCCCAATTTCATAAGATCAAATTGATTGCGCTGCACAAGATTCACTCAAGCCCAATTCCGCACAAGTAATTTTCTGTCCGCTCACTTTTAATTTCATATAAAATTCAACAAGACCTTCAAACCTTTCATTTCTCATCACCACAAGTAACGAAACATACAACACATACCAAGAATCAAGATGTCTGCCTTCGCGTTCGGCGGCGACGCCAACAAGGCAATGAAAATCATGGAAGCAGCACAGTGGAACAACCAAGCCAATCAGCTTGAAGCGCGTGGTGATTTTGCCGGCGCAGAGAATTTATTTTTGAGATCCCTCGCGAGGAAAATCGAAGCTACCGGCGAGGATTCAATCCAGACTGCTCTTGCGAAAAATGCGTTGGGCGAATTATATTTGAAGATGGAGGGCAAATTGGATGATGCACAGAAGATGTTGGAGGATGCTGATAGGGTTAGGAGTGGTATGTTACTTTCATCTGGATTGAGTATCGCAGGATATGAAGAAAAAATGCTGATGAGAGGTGCACAATAGTCATTGATGATTTTGACGCGGCTTGCACTCGTGATAACCTTGGCCAGTTATGGGAAATCAAGGGCGATGTCGTGAAGGCGAGAGAGGTCCGAGAAAGAAATCCGGAGAACATGATTTGTTCGAACTTCAAGGCAAGTGTTTTTTCTGACTCTCCCGAAAATCAGGACCAAGCTAATTAGCTGTAATAAGTGTCCACTCAGTAGCATGAACGTCGAGTCAAAGCAGGATGAACTCAAGAACTGTGCCAGATGCAGGTGTACATGGTATTGCAGTGGAGAATGTCAAAAAGTGGATTGGAAGACGAGACACAAGCGGTGGTGTAAGATGCCCACGGCGGAGAGTGCTCAGGGAACTAGTGCCAGTGGATAGAAAGAGGATGTAATGAAATGGCCGGGTGGCGTATAAGGCTGCGTGACTGGAGTTGGGAGACATGGTGATGGAGTGTGGGGGATCTTGGCTGACAGAAAGTGCTTCCGAATGAACACAAGACACAGAAGCACAGCTCTGACAGCAAATTCTGGCCTATTATAACAAGTATTCTTGAAAGAGATACTATCTGAGAAAGTTGCAAAGTCCAATATGAGATTCCTGATCAATCAGTTTTCAAAGTTCTTGTGTTTCATGTGCCCAAAACCTCCGCCAGACAATCATTCCACAAATCAATAGGGATGTGAAATTTAGATTGAACATCTATTCTAGATTCAGATTTACGTTGCAAGAATCAGCCAATACTCTGCCTATTGGACTATGCATAGAATTTTCAGAACATAATAATCTGAAACAGCATTGAATGAGGTAAATGTGACTGACTAAGCACGCAAACAAGAGGTTGATCTGACAAGCAAAATTGTCGCTCCTTCAGCTTCTGTAAAATTCCAAATTCGGTATAAACAACGAAGAGGTATCTCTTCTTTTTGCTCAAGTTGAATTTCACATTGGCATTCCTCATGGCCGGTGTCCATATGTCCACAATTGACCAATTCAAGAGGGCCTCTGCAAGTTACTTCAACATTTCGAGAGTCAACAATTTGTTGTTGTTTCTCACCAAAATTGGCCTGCTTGATGAACGACCACTCAATAAAACAAGTGTATTGGCGGAATCGCAACAAACAAGAGTTGGAGGAGTAATAATCATAAGATTTTCGAGATTATACACGGATGGGTGAAATACCTCAATCTTTCAAGCCAGGTGTTTTGCAGATACGATAGCACACTCTACGTAAGCAAAAAAACAGGCGGAAATTGACCACCATTCGAAAGACCTTCAACAACTAAGATCTCTTTTGAATATAATATTAAATCATAAAACCATTTAGAATCAATACAAAGAAGACTTAAATTTTCTTTTGCTTTTTTCAAATTTCAATATTTAATTTGAAATGAATTTATAATCTATTAAAAAAGTCCTTTGAAAGGTACTCAATTTCCGCCTGTTTTTTCGCTTACGTAGAGGCACATTAATGTCACCATTGCCGAAGTTCGTATTTGTTGGTTCGGTCTTAACTAGTTGGCGCTAGTATCTACCGGTACTCAACCTAGCGTTAGATATTTAAGTGTCAGGTGTGGGAACTACGGGATGATAATGTGGACAGCTCCGGTGGGCGTAACCCCGGAGCACTATCAAATCGTGTGTTAAAGCGGGGACAGGCCTGCAGCTCACGCAGAACAAGAAAGGTTTTGCCATGGAACCGCTCGAATAATCTTCTTGCATCGGTAAACTATTTGTGGATGGAATCTTCACTTCCCACGGCTATTCGAAGGAAATTAGATCATCCGTTAACTCATTGGGTAAAGAATATTCTGGGGAAACAGATGTGGAGATATTGCATGGCGGGGTTGTCATTTAACCTTAATGGCGAGATTGGGGAGATCGGCAGCCAAATTCTTCATGGAGTCCCTAACTCCCATATTACCGAGAAATTCTATATAAAGGAAGGCAAGATGCCAAAGCAACAAGCAAGAAAAGAGCATCAGAGGTACACCATCTTGTTTGATTCTCATCATGAAGTACGGAATACTGTCTTTGTTTTTGGCAGCCATTGCAAATGGCTCAAATATACTGCAAAGACAAACTATCCTGGGAACTTCTACTGTTAATCTGAACAACGATACTGGTTCTACCGGACACCTTGCTTCGGGCATTCTCTATGGCATTCCAGACACTCAGGGACAGATTCCCACCTCTTTCTATTCTGATATGGGATTTAACTATGCACGAGCGGGTGGTGCCCAGGTTCCGTCACCAGGACGGGGTTGGATATGGGGATTGTCTGAGTATAAGGTCCGTTGAATTTCTTGTTGCCAAGCAAGTGTGTACAAATTGCTGAACAGTCCTAGGTTCGATTCGCGTCAGCTTTGTCAAACTACCGATCCACTCGAGCACATGGTGGTAAATTTATATTCCTCATCCACGATTTGTGGGGTGCAGACGGAACTCAAAACTCAAGTGCTCTTTACCCCGGAGATAATGGAAACTGGGCTTCATGGGATGCCTATTTGACTCAATTGATCTCTGACATCAACGCAAATGGTGCCACAGCTGGTCTTTCAATTGACATTGTAAGTCAAGCTGCGTTGAGCCATCGCCGTCTCAAGCTTATTAACTGACTCTACAAAGTGGAATGAGCCGGATCTCACCGTGTTCTGGAACAGAAGTCAAGCCCAGTACTACCAAATGTGGGGTCGAACTTATTATAGGTTGAGGTAAATAGTGGAAAGATTCTGTGTAGAATTATGTACTAAATCAATATTTTAGAGCGGCATTTCCAGGTGTTCTTCTCATTGGTCCCGCCTATGCAAATGCTCCATCCCTCAGCAATACTTGGTGGACTGGCTTTGCTTCATTTGTAAAGACAAACAACAGCGTTCCAGATCAATGGGTCTGGCACATGGAAGGTGGTGGTAGTGCAAACATGGGAACATCTTATTCAGGGCTTCAGCAAATCCTTAAAACTTACGGCCTCCCTCAAAAGACTGTTAATATTGATGAGTATGGAACCAATGCCGAGCAAGTTCCTTCCGGGACTGCTTGGTGGATTTCGCAATTGGAGAGATACAACGCTATTGGACTAAGAGGGAATTGGCTCAGTGGGAGGTCACTTCACGATTTCTTGGCTGGTCTTCTCGGTAAACCAAATGCTGGAACCTCAGCTTATTCTCCGACTGCTACGGGTTACTGGCCAAATGGAGAATGGCAGGTTTACAAGTACTACAACCTCAATATGACCGGGCATCGCGTTGGAACCTCAGCGTCAGCAGATGGTAAATTGGACACTTATGCTACTATTGGATCGACCAAAGTAAAGATTTTGTGCGGAGTACGCATTACAACCGGAACTTGGCAAATCACGGTGAACAGTTTATCCTCTGTTGGATTACCAACATCTGGTACTCTGAACATCCAGACTTGGGGATTCCCAAATACTGGTGGCCCATTTGGTTCCGTTACAGCGCTGAACGATCTTGGTACTGTGGCTCATACTTACTCGGGGAATAGTGTGACTTTTCCTATTTATCAAGTGGATACGAGCACTGCGTATGCCTTTGAATTTAATGTCAGTTAGACGAGGAAGAAGAATATCGGTGGTGTAGTTGTGGCTTTTATCGGGACTACTGAATACTTACATATGAGCAAAACCAATCGAGGTTGTTTTGAATACATAGGAAATTGACCAATTAATATATCTCTTGGCTTTAGTCGCGTGACGGGAGTCCGAGGTACAGTTTCTTTGTTCTGATCCTGATTTGGATTTCGTCATAGCCCCTCACCAAGCCATCGCTGCATTTCTTTGTCTTCACAAATTTACTTCTACCATAACAGCTTCTCATTAATCAACAAATACAATAAAAAATCAAAACACCATTTCAAACCCAAAATAAAATGTCTTCAGATTCAGATAGTACGCCAGTACCCACAATCTCCCGAGAGTTCAAAGGAGAGACCGAACCAGTTAATCCTATCTCAACCGAAAATGCCAAGCCTTCACAGCCTGACGTTCACCGACTCAAGCTCCCCACTGACCATCGAGACAGTGCTATCTCTACACCCGACAGCATGAAAGTCGAAACTGGTAGTTCTAGTGATGGGGTTGCAGAAGCTGTCAGTCCTGTTGAAGGCCCGCCCACGAAATCTCAAGGCGGCGTACGCGAGGCTGAGGATAATAATAGTGATGGATCATGGGAGGAGGTGAGACATGAAGGAACCCGAGCCTCAGAGGGAGGAGCAACACAGGATAACAGGCCAGTTTGGGTAGGCCATGTCGAAGAGAAGAGTGCGACACAGGAAGAGGAAGGTTCGGGAGATATTGCTCCGGAATTTCGACCGAGGACTCCAAGACCTTATGGCTCTCATAGTGAATGATCAAGTTTGTGAGGGTATTGTTGAGACAGGGGATGGGATGGTAAGGTTTCTTGTTGAAGACGATTTCAATATGCGATTTCAATTGAAAGGGTTAAACTCAGTTCTCGTTGTCATCCCAGCCATCTCATTGGGGAAGTCATTGTAAGGAAGGTTCAAGGTACTCGGATATTTTGACTAAAAAGTTCTTCTCATAATACTGCTTAGGTATTGTCTGAAGATCACTTAAGCTTGGTCGGGAGTGCAGGAAGAAATGCAAAAATCTTAATTGGGGGCATTCATCGTTATGCAGGTATGGCAGAAAATTTATGAACTTTTAAAAATGATTGATCATCTCAGTTTCTTGAATTTCTAGCCTAATTCCCGAAGGTTCCTGCCCATGGTATTGTTACTTGAAGCCATATTACCCACGCTAGATCTTCAATACCATTCTTGAAATCTACGATTTGGGAAGTAGCAAGTTCATTGTCGGTGTGAAAATTCGCGACAAGAACATCCAATGTAACTCCTTCCTATTTGTAGTCTATGCAGGATTATTTCTTCTTAGATAAAACACTTTTCCTTTCACATCATTTTGGTCAACATCATTCACCTCATCAATCCTTATTTTCTATTACCTACACGCGGATATAGCCTCTACTCACTCATTCATTCTCATATTTTTTACTTCAAGTCGTGGTTTGACCTTTCCGTCTTGCTCAAATCAAAACTCCCTATTATCTGGAAGGTATCCAGCTTCAGTCACGAACCTGTCATTAAACAACAATTAGTTGAGAAGCTTGACTGTTCGCCATTGTCGGTGACGCTACTTGATCGAATTCTCAAAGACTTTTGGATAAAAATATCAGCACAGAGATATGGCTACCTACATACCTCCAAAACCCTACTCACTTCCACCGTCTAGGGCTTATGTGTCATCAACAGTCATTCCACCTGTTCGACCTGCATCTTTAGACTCCATATCAACTGAAAGTTCATGTCCAAACGCAGGATCAGAAGATTTAAGCGACTCTGATCAGGCAACGAATATCGACGAGGACTCCCGTACCAAGCCGGTACAGCCTTGCCATCGAGAATCCAGGAAAGAAATTGCTAAAGGGGGGGACTCAACCACCGAACCTCGGCGGAGTTGTACTCAAAGCGCTGGAAGAAAAATTATGAAAAGCTCCAGTTATCGTATAGAGACTGAATATCTCAAGAGTCCCGCCATGCATGCCTCTTTCAAGTTCGATGATGCCAATTGGGTCAAAATCAAAAATTTTCCTGAAAGAATCAAGGACGGCATTCGAACACTCTTAGAAAAGGGTTGGGAGTATGGTATCCGAAAAGAAGGTCCATGCTCGAAATCCGATAATGGTTATTATTTCAAACTCAAGAAGAGACCATTTGGTAGCGGAAATACGTATGTGGTGACTCGAATGACACGCAACATGGTTGCGTACTTGGCTTCCGAGGGTTGGAAAGTACAACCTGTTGCATCAATTTTAAATCCATACGACAACTTGAATTTTCGAAAATGTGCAAAGCCCCTCCCAAAATGTTACTGGCTTGCTTTGACGTACGCGCATGCTGGGAAGTGGTCTCTGAGAGATCATTTAAGCATTTTGGGTGGAGCAGACGAACTCATTGACACCATCCGCCTTACCTTGCAAGAAATGAATCTTATTTCAAGGCGCAAGAAGGAGCATGGTGATTCTGCGAAAAATTGGCACCAATTCTCCGTCAAGGGCTGCTTTCTCCGCTCTGGAGGCCCTGAAAAGAAAAAGACGATGATGCTCAGGATTATGGAGAGACTTGAGGAACGTGGTTGGGTCTTATATGTCGGCTGGCATCGAATCTATCACCAACAGACAGATTACGAACAGAGAATTGGGACTTGGTTGTGTGTGAAGAGTCGTGAATGGACGCCTACTAATCCAGTGAAAATTCGCTGGCATAGTGATTTGAATTGAGATGCAACATTGAAGATAATGCAGGGCTTAGAATCGTATCGGTAGATACGAGTAAAAATTGAAACTATCAATAGATCATGAACATTGTGTATGTGATTATCATTTTCATGTCATATCCGATTCAGGAATCATTATGGTGATGGGTCTTGTAAATGTATATCAGTGAATGTGTGTCACTGGCATGATTCCAAACTCTGACGAGAATGTTCTGTTCATAGCAAACATCATACACGATGACACTACGAAGTAAAACAAGGACTGAAAGCCCATTATGAGATTGATTAATATTCTGTGATATTTAATGGATATGGAGATTAATAACTAACGTAAGAACCTCATCTTCGCATCTATGCCTCGCACGGCCTCCTCGTGTTAGATAGCTGATCGGAGAGACTTAGAAATCATCCGTCCTTGTATTTTGTAGCAACAAATTTATGAAATCAGAGACAAGATCGAAATGGGTCGATAACGCAATTTAATGAGTTTTCGGGCTCTTGGTGGGATAAAGTGTAAAAACATGGTTGACTTAGACGAAACTGTTCGATTCTTAAACGGGACCGAGGAATCACTGTGTATAATATCGCTCCGCATTCTACTGAAGGTATTTGAAACTTTGGACACATTTAAACGGAGAAATTCAAAGAATTTAGGGTAATGAAGGTGCTAAAACTTTGAATAATTGATGAAGCCCTGGATACTGCATTGCATTGGATGCTTGTTGCAGTGTTAGATGAGATGGATAAACAGTCTAGTATTTTGAGCTATTTAATTAACAAAGCGTAGAAGCTTTACTAGTGGAGCTCGTGGTGAAACCAGACATTTTTCCCCTCTGCAAAGGCTTTGAACTTCAAGCTCTAATAAGTGTATCTGTACTTGTTCTTTCCGGCATGCGTAGATCCATTGGATGCTTTCATAGTTGATAAACCTTGACGGAATCAATCAGCCAGTACCTATCATATTTTCATGTCAGCGTTGATCCACATTACAATCCAACATAAAACTCACGCATCTTTGAAGGAATCTGGATTTGCCGCCACAAATTGTTCGCAAGTCAATTTTCCTCCTTGGCTGCAGATTCCACCATCCTTTCCCCAAACGCCTCCTGCAAACTCTCCACAGAAGGTAGTATCAAATACTAAACTCTGTTTCGCGAAATGCTTTTCAATGTCACAGGAAGAAGAACCTTGGAAAATTGCTTGAGGTTTTGGCCAGGAGCTGGGTTCTGGTTTTCCTTCTTTGATATCCACCGGAATGGCATTGCGGGGAAAGAACCAAATCTTGATATAATCTGAGGTCCATTCCGTGGCGTAGATGCCGCCACCATTGGAGTTGAAAGATTTGCCATAGGTAGACGCTCCGCCTTGAGCTGTTGAGCCGCAGCCGGCATAGTTGTTCAACTAGTGATGTTATGAGTATTGTGCACTGCGAATAGAAGAGAATGTCTTACATTGCCATCACATTGATTGCTATTCATCGTACCTAGCTGTGTGTTGTCTTTGATTGGCATGGTACAATCCGCCGAGCTTTCATTATTAGCGGGCCGAAAACATTGAAAAGGCAATTTGCTTACGTATGGAGAGTCATTATGTTGTCAATCTGTTGGTTGACGCCTTCGATGATATCGATTTCTCTTGATGGCAAGTTAGACACTTCTCCAAAGGTTTGATTTTGGAAACAAACATACCCGTTATTCGGCCAGTCTGGGCCAACCAACCAAACTATTTTGTGGGTCGTCAATAGCTACTTTATTCACACCGGTTCTTTGAAACTTACAAGCTGGCCATGTACCGCAAGCTCCACCAGGCATGTGCAAAATATCTGCAATAAACAATCCATGTGTCCATGATTTCTGACTCACTATGCGTACACTTTTGCGTCCTGGACCAGCAGGATCTAAAACAGTAGTATGATCGACTCCGATATATACTGGTCCATGAGCATCTGTATTGATGAGTTGACTTGCCCTCGCAGCACCTTCATCGACATATCTGGGAGGGGCGGTTAGTAGTGCTCAGTATGAAAAGGATGACTGACTAACGTAACGTAACCATGAGTGGGATCTGGATCCTATAAGATTTTAGCAAGAAAGATGATTATTAGAGTAGAAGATACCACAAGTTCTTACAGTGAAAAATTGCCATCCACTAAGGAAGGTTGCTCCTTCATATGTAGAGTCCAGATGGTAGGGATCTGCTCTGACACCTACGAACAACACCCAACAGATTGAGAAGAACAGGCGAGTTAAGATCATAGTCAAGGATCTATAACAACCCAGTGGAATAAAATATAAGCAACTTCCACAGAATTCGAGGATGTGATTTTCAAATTGAACTGATTCCTAGCAGCAAGTTCGTGTCACGAATTCACAATAACTTTGAGTAGCATTCCACAGGAGTAGTGGCACCACCACAAGTATATATCTTGATGATGTACCTAGGTAGGCAGTATTGAATTTGATATGCAATCTCTCAGATCATCTCCGATTTCTCAGAAATATGAGGGGAAGTCAGTGAACGCATTCACTGCCTGGGTTTTTATGATGAGTGCAATTGATCCTTTAGCCCTAGGCCCAAGATTGTTACACCTCAAATATAAACCCCAATTTCCAACGCAAAGAGACCTCATCTCACGGTAATCAATTGAGATGACACTGGTCAGATGTTCAGACTTTACTAATGAGGGCCTGAAGTGGTGGTGCGCAAGCTTCTTCATGTGTGGAAATGATACTGTCTTAATCGAATTACCAATTTCTTTTCCCGGAAGAACATGAAAACTTCAAGCTCTCAATTCCATGTGGAAATTAGATCGCACCAATATTCCACTTCAGTTCGCACAACAGTCCCTCCGCGTTCTGGTTTGATTTGGGAAATGACTACTAGAAAGTTTTGCAACGTCATAATCTCAGAATGGAAATGAATTTCATGATTCCGGTCCCCTTAAATCTTTCTGTGGTGAATATCAAACTCATCTGACCTCACCATTATGATGAGTACCTAGGTATGAAGAGTAAGGAAGACTGTGGATGAAAATTTGACATATCACATGCAATTTACATGCGTGATTGACCTTTCTGCAGTGCGCTTATAACTCCTGCTTCCGTCCATGAATTTCAAAACCGTGCGGCGGGAGACTAAATGGAATTGGGGGTTTACCAATCTCGTTACTATCTACGGGACGAGGAAATTTCATGTTGCGGCTGTGAAGGGGTGTTTCTCGTCTATCTATCGGCAAAGTTCTCCGATGATAAATTCACCGACCTTGTTGCTTATGTAATCGAAGTTGGTGTTTTTGGCCTTCCTGGTAGCTCGCATCACTTCAAGAATTTATGTTTTGAGAAGTCTCAAATCATGTTGATTTTCTGGTATATCGATGGGAATTTCCGCTAGCTTTCTTCGTGATGTCTCATCGACATTGCTCTGTATGGTGGCATGGAAGCTTGTGGAAATTCATCAAACTGCCATAACACACCTCTGCCCCAGCCGTTGTATGAGCACCCAGACATGCGCTGCGATGCTCCCCCAAAAATGATATGTGGTGATTAGCTTTTGCATCATCGACTCTAGAACCTGGCTTCTTCAGTGTCATATTGTTAGTGATCCAGATTCTCTGCTCAATACAATCCTTTGATCCTCTCAATAGGTTTCCTCTCTCATCACTCAGGGCCAATCCTTTACCGTTCTAGGCTTGGCACGCATCTTCTAGGAGTGCAGTTCAAATGTTGAGAACTTCGGTCAGCTACAGAGCATGGCCAGAAAGGTTGGAATAATGCCATGCTTGGAGGATGAATGCGATGCATGGACGAGCTGGTATGATGACTACAATACACCCGCGTGGTTCGAACACACTCGAGATGCAAAGTCTAGGGGTTTATCCTCTCGATTGGATCCGATGAGTCTTCACTTAATTGACTCCATGTGAAAACACTTTCAGGGGTCGATTTTGTTTTGCACATCCCAATCTTTTGATTTTTGCGTTCAACACTTAACATTTCTACCAATAATTTATCACTACTTTTCTGTTTGATTCTTTTGAGATTGGTAAGCGTGATGGTTACTTCGTGCTGATAAATTAGAATCTAGCGGCTTGTCAAAAGAACAACTTTCCAGCAATTGAGAGCCTTTTTGAGTTGACTCAAGTAGTTTTCTTGAATCTGGCTTAGAACAAGGTTTGTTCAAAAACCGTTTGACCTGTCACCAGGGGAGCCAAGATACAACTTGTGTGCTACAAAAACATGAATAGCATCAACCAATGTTTGCAGGATTATCAGTAGTTCGCTTTGTTGATCGGTACAGGTATAGATACGACTGTCTGACCCCTTTAGCTGCCTATTGAATCAAGTCTATCATATCTTAATCTCATTAGTATTAGCTTTTTGTATATAAAGAACCCAAAACAATCTATCATTTTACTCCAATTCAAGAATGATCCTTATTTACTCACAGGATGTCCCAAATACAAAGCAATACAAGAATATTGTTTTATATTGGAGTGAATAGTTTATAATCACTTGTGCTTGTATGTGAACATTATTGACCATTAACATACTCTCAGTGTATGTCAACCAATTTCCGAGGCATGGAGTCTACAGTAGGGTTCGAATGATCTTAGTACAGACCACTTCCTTTAATTAAGTTTAAGATAATGCAATTAACAACCTCTGCCTGATAGCATCTTTCAGCTCCACATCAAAACGTCTGAAAACAATAATTCTCTTTATACTCACAGATCAATCATGTTACCCAGTAACCTAGCTGGAAGCTATCGCCGCTACAAGGAAGACACCAATGTATTTGCGACATGGTTGTTGAATACTGCAGAGACTTGTGGATACAATCTGGGATATGTTGACGAAACTCCCAAGCCGCAGTTAGCGCAACCAAGCACTAGACTCAAGGGGAAGGCAAGAAAAGAAGCAAAGAAAGCTGCAGCCAATTCGGCAACAATTGAACAAACTAACCTGAGGTATATCTCGACGAAAGAGATGTTGCTGCAGGCAGAAATTATTGCAAAACACAAGCGGCCGCCCGTGGAAATGCCAAAGAATATTCGTAACACCTTGGAGCGTGCGATAAGGGCACGAACACGCTGTGCCAATGTAAGAACACCTTACTCGCTTTCAAGCGAAGAATGTCTAACTTCAATATGGCGTCATGCTAATTAAACGCACAGTGGTTTCGTAACACCGAGACGGACCAGCACACCGATAAATCCAACCGCACACATGCGTATTTTATCTCAATACTTGAGAAGGCACTTGATACACTCGAGCCTTGTACTAGAAAAGAAAAAGATGCTGGCTCTAGTTCTGATTCTCAAATACGAGGCAGCAATACAGCTCATAGCACAAACATCTATGGCATGCTGGAGGTTGAAGATGTTGGTGCGGAAACCCCCAATGTCACGGTTGATGACATCATCACTGCATCTAAACCTAACGCAAAGAGACATCTGAACATATGTGAGATGGAAATCGAGGATAAGATAGACTTAGAATTTGTCGTCTTTTGCTTCTTCGAGGATTTACAGCGCATACAGGAGTTCTTGAAAGAGACATGGAAATTAGTTATGAAGGAAGAGCTGGACGCCATAACTGCTTCTCTCGTGTCTAACCTGGCTTTCAGTCTTGCTCGTCAGATTGAAGATGAGCTTACCTCAAGCTACCCAGAATTCTTCGGTGTTATTCCATCTTATGTTAAGATTGCGGGAATCCTACATGAAGTCAACTTCGCCAAAGACAAGCTGGATCAACAAGACAACAAGTCGAAGAGATCTACTTCCGACGAGTTTGTGTACTACTCCATCTTTCGTATTCTATCCAAGTATCTTCAATACGGACACACTCAAAGTGACGGTGCACAGTGTGTCATACCTATCAGCACTCTTTTATCTGCAAATGCTTTGGTCTACGAACAAACGGGTCGGCACATTATGCCAGCCACAGCCTCCGCCATTGATGACTGGGAGAATGAGGACCGATTGCTTTCTCAGATTTTACTCGATGTCACGAACAAGACATTTCTGAAGTATCATCATGAGATACACTTCAGCGAAGAAGTAAAAGAGCAGAGACGTATCGCTGAACGAATCATCTCATCACCATTTGAAGATGAGTTCACGAAAGGTCTGATGTCCACCAATAAAACCGGCAATATTAGAGTCTCTATCGTATTTGGAGCTAGAGCTCTTATGGATATTTCGAAGATTCTGGGCGATGGCGCTGGTAAGTCTTACGAAAGCTTGCGCCTAAAGGCATCTATTGCGTCAAAGGCTTTAGGGATCCGCTTCGACGCTTCAACCGAGCATGGTTTTCAGAATAGTCTCAAAGAACTGAATGGAGATTGGATCACACCGGAAATAACGCAACGAGCAATCAATCTTTCCCAGTTGATTCAACAAACTGTCAAGGAAAACGCCTTCGTTGTCATAAAACATAGGCACTTGCGAGACACGGCGAACAACATTCCAGAGCATCACCCTCTCTTTAGAGAGTTCAAACAGCTACAGCCTGAAACCATCTGGCCTTCAAAAGATCGAGCATTCTACTACAACTATAACCCGACTTACTGTGGGCTCGAATGGCTTAGAATTGCCATCCGAATGGAAAAGGAAGGTGTTGATCTTTGCAACACGTTTACATCATTTTTTGCGGTTGCACATCTTTACAACGCGCTAAAACAAGATGGTCTTGTTGAGAGTAACTGGGCCGTATTGGATGGGGCAGTCGAATCTCAATTGAAGCATCTCTTCAATGACATCCTACCTACCACGCATAAGCAAATAATCAGTCGGTTTATCATGAAGTTGGGTGTTCCAGCTAGCGCATTTGCACCAAATTGTCGCTCAGCTTCAAGCGCAAAGAACTTAGGCGTCAACTTTGTGAAGGGTACAGAAAACATGCTCAAGACTACCGAATTTTCTGGCGCCTTGATGAGCTACCTCGAGAACCCAGTTGCTGCTGATACTCTACTCATACAAGCTCAAAAGCATGGCCGCAAGAACGATGACAACAAGAAAGCCAAGGCTCGTCAGGGAACCCCTCTTGAGATCCTTACAGAGATGAGGATTTGGTTACCGCAGATCATTGCCAGAGTCGAAATACCGTATATCAAGCTTACACGCCAATGCAGCCTGTTACTATTACGTATTCGGGAAGCTTTAAACGAGGAACTTGGGATAGACAACAAGAATGGTCTTGTCGACTGTGCTGAAGCAAACCCGAAAGAGAATGTTCTGACGGTATTGCAGATTCTGGGCGAGGCTTACGGGATAGAACTCTGGTCGGAAAATGCACGCCGCAATATACTTGACAACACATCTATACAGCTAGAAACACCTCAATTGCTTATAGCCGCTCGAGTTACACGAGAATTCCTTGTAGAGATTGTAAAAGAGGAACCTATCAAAGCGTTTGACGTTCCCGAGGCGTTGCAACTGAAACGTGAGTTGAACCAAAAAGGACAAGAGCTGCAGAGGAGATATATGGCAGGCGATCAGAGTGCAGAAGTTATCGACGGATTGAGAAGGGCATTTTCGGAAGCTTCAATATAGATATTGATGCCAGAGCCATGTGATTTTTATCAAGGATTTGGATTGAATACATATGTAGTAATAGGAGTCGGTCGGAATTCAATATTTAATCTTTATTTTGAGCCTGAAACGATCAAGTGATTTCAAAGTGCCACGTCTTCAAATAGAAAAGTAGGGTCTAATCCGAGCACAGAGTCGCGACCCGCCAAAAGTGAAAGCTAAAAATCTTGAGCGACATTATATCAGGCATGGCTGTTATTCAGATTTCCTCTTCTAATTCGGCGCTACCTTACGTAATATGTTTCTTTGCTCTAAAAGCACGCACATTAATAACCTTCTCGTTTATTCCTTCAAATTTAGCGAACAAAATTTGAGCTCGCTCGAACTTGAAGATCACGTTTTCTGGTTCGGAATAATTTTTCATCTTGAATTGTATTGCTCACCTTGTTCTATAGCCGTTGTGCTTGTGACGAACACAATCAGAAACTCTCTCACAACTCCACTACCCCTGAACAAGACCACTTCTGAAGTTTAGTGAAATCCAGTTTATAGTACATTAAATTACAATGATATTAGGAGATCATACAGCTATCGACTTCATTTTCTCTTCTTTAACCGAGCGTCTCGTGATGGCAAGATATAAATCCACACATGAGTTGACAACCATCAAGTTGACGATTATACATGTACAAGAGCTTGTTACGGCGGATGAACAAAGAGTAACATATATAGACGTAGAGTAACATATATAGACGTAGAGTAACATATATAGACGTAGATCTGCTACTTATTTGTAGTTTGGTTTAATATTTGAGGAAGATTAAGTAAAGTTTCGTCCGCAAACTTCGCCTGGTTTGTCCCGCGGCAGACAGTTTCAAGTCCGTTAAGTTCCGTTGAGTCATGGGAGCTTGCTGCACAGCTGCCCAAGTGATACCTGCAATGATAAAATATATACATGTATACATCGTTGAAGGAGTTTTCTTGGTTTTTTTTATTGTTGCTTTGAGAGCCGTCATATCGAGAGCGAGAGCGGAGGGGACCAAAGATCTCACCATGAGAGTCAAATAGGACAAAAGTTGTGGTAACGGGGAAAGTTTAAGACCACCTCTCTAGACTTTTCTAACAATATGATTGCATGATGGATAGATTTGTCAAGAAACAATTCAACATTGTTGAAGCGTGGTCAAAGATGAGAAGCATTTTGACATTAGAACCAAGCCGATATAGGTTTCTGTGGGATTCATATTGTCTATCTGTTGATTGCCACAAGTGATTTCCGACAGTAATATGAATGATATGCCGCGACTTAATGTATCGAAATCAGATAATAGCAGAGTATGTGAATCTGAACTTTGATCAGGCTCTGGGGTACCGGAACAGCTGTGGTCGAGAACGCAATGTCTTTAACACAAAGAGCAGATTGCTGTGTTCAATTTGTTGGAAGAAATACTCTGCCAGAGCAGAGAATTCGAAACTATGGTACAGACTATAGATTATATTCACGTTGAAATTTCCAACCAGAGTTAAATAATAGTGTTCTAATGACTCAGCTGGACCCATGAACATCAATAGCTCATCATTTGAACTTACCTCGATTAAAGGATCTAGTCCGGGCTACTCAGCTTACACCTTGTGATGCTGACACAGGGACATAGTTGAAACAAAAGTCGACCTTGAGAAGTGTATCATTTCAATGTGAGTTTGTAGTAGATTCCCACATTCGTAGCTTCGAAGTCGAGAACAGTCAATCCGAAGCGAGCACATCCACATTCAACACATCCACATGAATGTATAACTGCGAGCCTCAAAACCAATCAATGTATCTTTGACATTCACGTATTCAGCTTCAATGGGAGGCCAATCATGGGGTGGCGATTGTAGTTGTGTTAAGAAACGAATAGCATAGCCTCAATGTATTCTCAAGTTTTCAAAATAGCCCCTCCTGCCCAGGGAAAAATGCATCATGAGACTCTCTGAAAGCTACGGACTTGATGCCAGAACAACGTTGTGGTTTATCGTCTCCGCTATCTTTGAGCACTGATACCAAGCAGGGAAACATTCTGGACGCTATCATTTGAGTGTCCAGCGAATGATGGGGTTGAAGAACCAATAGAAACCCGTACTGGTAAATTTGATTGTTTCAATTGTCAAAGTCGTGTTGTGTGCCGATTTGTTGGTTGCGCCATGTCGCGTTGCTTCAAGGTTCTCACGCCTACTCCGTATAGAGTTGAAAATTATAGCACCCCACACACTAAGAATCGGAAACACTCACTAAGCCTAAATAGTCCTAGATAAACTTTTTCACCACTCACCGCCAGCTACGTTGACAGCGGACCCATCGTCGACAGCCCCATTTTGACAAGCCCAATTGCTCATGTTTGCATAAATCGTAAATATGTATGTGATTCACATAATAAGATTAATGCTGCTGATAAGTTAATGAGGGGCGAGTTATCTGCAATCTTTAGAATCATCTATCAATGTTGTGAGAAAGCAATCCATCTCGAAGAAACATCATCCGCCGTCAAACTTTTATATCACTCATTAGAACCTCGGGAGCGCTCACCGCAACATGATTACCTGATGACTCTTGATAACAGAGGGGAACATTAGTTCTGCTACTTCTTCCTCTCTCATTTTACTTCTTTCTTGCGTACGCTACATACATATATCTACCCTGGAGGTTGATGTGAGTCTTCTTGGTCTCAAAGAGCCGACTTGATATTGACTTTAGAACAGTATCTTTTCGCATCCCCCCTCAATACACCTCTACGCCGTGTCCCTCTCTACGTTCACTCATTCGCAAAAACAAAATTTTCTCGAGATAGACAGGCCACAAAGCAGTGCAGTAACGCCTAAGACATTACGAAATGGGCCTCGAGAAGCTCTTCGCTGTCGCAGCGCCGAAGAAAGGATCATCGAGATCGTCGTCGAATCAAACGTCCATAGCACCGATGCATCTTGAGCAAATCTTTCGTTTCCCTGGAGTCCTGACCGAAGTTTCGAGCGTTGTCAAGAATCTATCAGAAGGTTACACAACATATCAAAATGGGGCAGCGCTTAGGAACCAGCTGGAATCCGTTGTGCCGGAGGTGCAAACATTTGCTTCAGGGATGAACCGATATTTGAAGAACAAGAACTGGTTGGATTTGTTTCAAACCTTCCTGGTGGGGGCGAATGTTGTTGCTGCTTTCATGGAAGTACTGCAGGGTTCGTCTGGTCTTGAAGAAATCGGGTTAAAGATTTATGGCGAACTCGAAGCACAGACAGGACTTGCTGCCCCTGATAAATTCGCGAAGCATGTTGACAAATATATCCGGAAAGAGGCAGCGAGTGTCTATGGTGGTGACGAGGAGCATCTCTATTTCCTCTATCACCCGGATACAGATTGGCACGGCGAGTTCCACGATATTGTTCAAAACAAACCGGTGCCAAGTAATTTTGTCGGCATGTCCGAGAATCTTCACGCCCTGTGTACTTGGATGTTATTTATGCGGAAACGACTTGAGAGATCAAGGATTAATGCACGTTTTCATCTCCTGATTCCTGCGTATAGACCCATGGTTGTTAGAACGGCTTTCGTCTTTCCAGAAGAACTCTACCCTTTGACCGTCCGTGGACATATTCACAACTCGAAAGAATATGTCTGGTTAAATCTCCCTACGATGAAAGATGTCCCTTCCGACTTGTTCGAAATGTCAAATGTGGGAAATATTGCTGCTTTACCAAAGCCACCGGCACTATGGCAGCATGCGTTGACCTGGGTAGGGAGTATGGTAATGCCGAGAAAAGAGCCACCCCCAATTGTTCTAGGAAGGGGGAACATTAGTCCCAATGCTCCTATCTCATTGGAAGATAATGAAGACGAGAAACTCGAAGCACCAGAGGATATCCAGATTCAGCCTGAAACACGACAGATAGTAAGAGGCGAGAAGAGACGAAAGCATCGAAGTTCACGACCGAAGGGCGACTTGAAACAGTATTGATCTTTGTTGTTGCGATGTGGAACGCGGAGATCCTCGCAAGTATCTCGTGTGCGCTACATGTGGGAATTGAACTGGCTGCCATGGGCGTATCTAAAGGAGATTTGGTGAAAGAAAGACGGATGGAAATGAGTGATGAATTAGATACCAAATACAAAAGGAAGGAGTAAGATAGGAGAACATTTGTGATTTGCGGCTTGGATAGCTTCGCGGTAGCCTCGGCACCGACCTGAAATAATCAAACTCATAAATTACTCTGGGAAGTGGCGTTCGCGATTATTTTCCTTTTGCTATGCGATACCAAAGTAGAATAGAAATACAGATATCATGAAGGATTCTCTTAACAGGTTTTATACATTCGTCGATGTGGCATATCATACCCAAAATTCCAATTCAAGAACTCTGGGAAAGTTCCTGGCCATGTAGACAGCTCTAAGCCGCTTCTATGGAGGAGAGAGACTGACCTAAATCTATCTTCAAGGCTTCAGTTGGCGATAATCAATTGGTTTTCATGCTGAAAGTCCCATGAATAGATAGTCGTCGAGCCTGAGCTTAGCGAAGTCTTCAACTATCATTCAACCCCTCACCACAAGGTTAGTCAATCGAACGTAAAAACTTTATTTTCATCTTGGTGAGGTTGTGAGATCTACAACCTTCGCTAGTAATACATGCACGGATGTTCAAAGAATATCCAGTCATGTTTCTTAAGCGGTAACATTCGAAAGGCCAACGATGTCATGGCGCCCTCTCACCTCACAAAAGAACAACGTCTGTTCAAAAGCAGAACGACTGGGTGTAGAGTACCTATTCTTACCTGGAGATACCATATAGCTTGGTGTTAGACTATTTTTGACTATTTTTATGCACATATGCTCATGTCAGTTGACACAATGAAGCACTGACGGCTCGGCTCGCAAGCTGCGACGAGTCATAATAGATTGCTGGAAGTGGCTTGAACAAAGGATAATGAAGCCAAGTCTAGAAAGTAGAGTAGATTTGTTTTTTCTTTTTCAGCAAAAAGTGGTCTAGACAAGTCGATGTGTATCCGTCTCTCAAATACATCAGGTATCATCGAGGAAACTCAAACTCTAATATCGGCGAATAACTTTCCGATGTCTAGGTTAGAATTTGCAAAGAATTGGCATCGCTTTATGAACAGTAGATAGATGGGGTACCCCTTTTTTATATCAAGCACTACGCTTTGATACGATCAGGAGCTTCAGGTCGTATTCATTTTTCCATAAGTATGAAAAACTTTGTTGAAATTTAGTCTTGTATTTGTGTAGAGGTGCATTGTTTAGCCAGGGTTTACTACATCACTTTCACCACTTGTTTCGCTTGACTTAATGTGTGACCAATTCTTGATGCGAAGTAAAGGCTCAGAAAGCTGACTAGAAATTGCTGCAGCGTGTTTGAGAAATCATTCAGATTTTGGATGCATGCAGGCTTCTTACATAAGTCACCATGCTCTGCTTATGTAGCAAGTCTGTCTCTGTGTACCTGGGCCTAACAGTAGAATCCGAACACCCGCACTACCATCTAGCTTCTTCCTTGTGCTAGTACTTGGCATCTTCCCTCAGAAATCCTCGTCCTCTTCATATTCATCTTTCGAAAATCTATCCCTTGTCACTTTCTCGGCCTTGATCCTTGAATTCTTCTCCAATGTCTTGAGGTGCAGTGGGTATTGTTGTCTTCCATTTGCTTGTCCTGAGAGTGCTTTTTTCGAGACGCCCTCTTGATGGTCTGGCGCACGCCTTCTTATGATGCGTGTAGCTCTCTTTCTTGGCGGAATAATATTTAGGGAGCGCCTACGCTCCTCTGCTCGAATCGCAGGTAAAGAAGCCAGCGTAACATCTGCTCTTCGCTCGTCTTTCCTTCTCCCCTTGCCACTATTGTCATTCTTATCATCATCGTCGTCGTTGTTGTCTCCGCCATTGTCACCACCACCATCATTTGGATTATCAGCTGGTCTCGCAGCTGGAAATCTTCTAAATTTAGTCAATATTGCCGGATTATGAATAAAGATGAAGCTTGCTTTAAGCCACTCTTATGAGATCTGGGACTATCAAAATTCCTGAGTGCTGGAGATAATAGAAGACAGTTACTTACACATCATGGCATACGGGACATGACTCCGTTGAAAACAATCTTCGCTGGGACCTATTACGCAGTGTTATATCATTGTGTACGCAGTACTCTCCTAGTCGATGTGGTCCTCGTTGATGTGCTGCTCGGCAAGCAGTGGCGTGAACAAGAATATGATGACCTCGCGGGCATAAATTGGTGTAGTAGACACACATCGCCGTTCAAAATTGTTTTATTGCCTTAATTGAAAGTCATGTATGATCTTAAGATGAAGTGGATATGAGAGCCTAAAAATTGTAGCTATATATTCAAATCCTCATAAAGAGTAGAATGGCTAGAAAAAGCTTTATTAGAATCCCTAAACGAGGTTGAAAGCAAGAACGTTTTGATTATACAATTCTCTATTGAGCAGACCCTATTACAAGCAACTAGACGAAATATTACGGATTGGTTTGAACGTTCTGGAAGAAGTCTTGTTTCTTATAGTATCATTTGAAAGAATAGTTTTTTGAAAATAGAAATCCAGCTCAAAGGTCACTGTGGCATTGCTACTCTGATCAATCTGACTTTGATAGCGTTGAATGAAATGAGACATGCGACATTGTTATCTGTCGACATGACAAACAGGTCCCTTGAAAGTGCATGACAATATCTGAATGGACTCACTCAGCATCTGGTGTTCTTTTTATACAGCGGTACTAAATAGTGATGATATACAATCAATGAAAACAAGGATGAATCCAGCATCTTCACATCTTCTACTTCCTCTATTTTATTTCCCGGGAAGTCCTTGGGAGAAAAATTCTGAAATTTGTATAGAAAACCAGAAAGCTGCTGTTGTTGAAACGCGATTAGTGAGAGCTTCAAAGTGGCAGTGGAACCTCATTTCGGAAGTTGGAGTTCTACTCGGAGATGTTGATAACTACAAAATGGTTCGCCATGGTTCCTTGGGATGTTTTGTGTGTTTAGTTCTACTTATTTAAATGATTGAAAGCTTCTGACTATCGAGTGAGCCATACGTCTCAGTTTGAAAAATATCATATCACTGACGGGAGAGGATTTTCTATTTTATGGGCAGTCAAACAATTTCCTTAAGGTGCACCAATAGACCCAGCCATGTTAGAGGTCCATCTCTGTAACAAGTAAACCTTGGCTCTTCTCAGTTTACTTCGACCACTACCATCCATGGTATTAGCCCACTGATTTTCTTGCCTGAATTGTTCTTTGCTTTTTGGTAGTGGGCAATTTTTCTTCAAACTTCTCATTTCGAACACGTCCACGTTTTGCTGGGGCATTATTCGCCGGCATTAAACCCTTGCAACCCCTTCCGGTGTTCCTAACGCGTCTTACTGCAGCCGGAACTTGGGAATGCCCACTCTGAGTCACTGTACATTGATCCATTTCGTCTGTTTCCTCCTTTTTATCATTCTCCTGCTCGTATGCTTCCTCTTTCTTTACCACTATCGTCGGCTTATCTTCTCCTACTTCGTCTTCCTCGTCTCTCTCATTGACCAGGGTCACGGCCTCGGCAGCGTCTTCTTGGTCTTCTCTTTGTCTAACAATATTCGATTAGTGATACACACTAAATTGCATCGAGACTCGCGAAGCGATTCATGGTTTCTCCAGCGCCTCAAAGAAGGGCCGGCACCTGAGATACTGGCGATAGAATAAATGAAAAGATATCACTACTTACTTCTCTATTTCGCAAAGCCTACAATATTCTCTCGCGTTCCTACTTTTCCTTATATTGCCCATTCTTACTTCTTCGATGTCGCAGTATCTGAGCGGTCTGCAACTGTTTGCATAGTTACAGGCTTTCGTGAAAACGAGAGAACATTCGTGACCTTCAAGACAAGTCTCAATGTAGTAGATGCACATTTTCAGTTGCAAGTGAGCTTTCAAGAAGAAACTGAATAGAAACCAAAATCTTAGACCAAACTGCAGAAGAAGATGCAATACTTATGTGTAGAGATTCCTACAAAGATAAATTTTAGGACAATTGGGCTAGCCAATTTTCAAGAACCTCTTCGTAGATCGTTCACAAAAAGAGAAAAATTAGATTGAATTGCTCTGAGATCTTGTAAAGCGCCTTTTACCCTCATGTAGTATTGTTCGAGAACGAAAATCAAATGAAAGAACTGGCTTTTAGTTTACTCCAATGTTTGTTACTCCAGTTGGAGATCTCAAAAGTGATGTCATTCAATGTGGATTCTTATTAGCAACTAATTGTTTTAAATGCTCATTATTATCAAACTTAACCCTGTGGAAATGGCATGCGACATCATCTGATGGTGGTCCCAGTGGAATAATTTCTGTTAGGAATGAACTGAGCTAAATAAGGGGCCAAACATTTGGCACAATTATACCCCAAATTAGTATCATGTTCCTCATACCTTTATTAGAGAGATGCGTGAAATATGAGCCTGTTTGATATCTCTTTGAAAATTTGTTCCTGCAAGCTGATGATCTAAGTCAGGATGCTTGCATAGACTTTTCTTAGTTGGTTTAGAAACACTTTCACTTCGATCACAGGTTCTTGTACAAATTCAAAAAAAAGTTCTTTTTGTCTAATGCTAGCGCCACTAGGATTCATGTTGATCTTACCATTCGTGATGTGACTGTATATCTACTTCTCCCTTGTCAGCCACCCGCATTGAATGAAATTCGTTCAACAGAAATGTAGTCAAGATGGCCGATAATTAAACATTACTTCTTGCGGCATGATTGTCTAATCACCGGATCTGGAACACTCTTCAGCTTGTACTCCGAGAGGCGCTTGATGTTTGGAGCAGCAGAACTTTTACTTCCAAGTGACTGCTCATTGGTTGTGTTTGGCTTTTGCGAACCCGTTATGATATGTCTTGAGATTGCATCGCGTGCCAGGGGGCAGTTATTCTGGCGATTTCACCCCGTTCCACGAAGCCCCAAAGGGTTCGAGGCGAGCTGCTATGGCCCGGAAGACGACATGCGATCCCAACCACCGCAACAGGATCCTAGATTTAGGTGGATTCTGCGTCTTTGGAAAACTCATGACCACCTGTGGCAGATATAGGGCTTTTACTCATGGCTGTCATGATGTTGCTGCTTCAAATCAAAATCCGAGTCTTGCTATGAAACATGAAAGCGGTTGCAAAAAAGCAAAAACTAGAAGTGAATGGTGAAAGATAAATGCTGAATTGCATGTCGTTCTTATAGTTCTTAATCAAGAGCAAGGTCCTAGTGGCTTTTTCAGTCGTTATGAGCTATAAACATAGTTTAAGGACTTTCTGGTTGCAGTGGCATCGCCTATACCTGCAGAGCGTTGCATCTACAGATGTGATTGAATTACCAAAATGAGTTGTTCAAGGTAATCACGCACCAGAATGGAGCACGAGAGAATATCTTGATTCCACTGTTCACTACTTGTCACAAAGATTAAGCAAGTAAGCCTCCGGCAATCCAAATAAGCTGCATGAAGACTATTGGTGGGTCCGAGATGATCTTCGAATGTATTGTAAACGGTGAATTCTGATTGCTTGATTTGATCACATACAAAAGTCTCCCCTGCTCATCTCCAGAGGTCGTGCCGTGTATCGTCCCAGGAATACCAGGAATACGGTACAACTCCCACTTCTTATACGCCTTAAAAATCTCACCCTACTGTTTATAAACTCCTCCCTCTACCTAAGCCATCATATCAGGGTAGCTACGAAAATGGATATTATATGTAATTCAACATGTCGGAAACAGTTTCTTGCAGACATAAGTATCCTTACCTTCTTCATCTCATTTCTCGTATGACTTATTTGAAACAGCTATTTTAGGCACCCGACTCTTATCAATTCAACAAACGAATTTAACAAACGCTAGCCGTTAGCCGCAAGGGATCTAGGCTTAAGTTCCGACTGGCTGTACAAGCATCAGCTTTGATTGACATCGTGCTCAAAATTTCTCAATAACCTCCTTTTTGCATCTGTCACTGAATGTAAGACAGATGGGTGTGGACTGATACAGGAAATGCAGAGCTCAAATTTTTGGATTAAAGGAAGCATCACTGTCAATAGACGAGCGTGTATCTGGCGTGGTGAAAGGAGTAGGTCCAAGTTGAAAAAAAAAATAGAAGGTGCTGTGTTTGTTAACTGACTCCTACAGATTGATGTTGCCACCAGAGAGCCTAACTCAGGCAGGTTCATGGAGCACACCGGAAATGAATTGGATTGGTAGGGCTGAGTACAAAAGATTCATCTACAAGGTAGATAGTGGGCTTCCGACCTTGCTCATTCTGTTGAGCAGATGAATAGAATCCTGAATATATAAATTACCGTCTCTATCACTTACTAGGAGTTTCATGTTCAATATAATTTCTGTCTTACCCATAATATTGGCATGTCTTCACCAAACATTTTTGCGTGCTTATCTCGACTTTCTGCTTCTCCAACCACATCCTACAGCCAGATATCTCTTGCAAAAGTTTCCCTAATTGTTTTTCTGTTTAATTTGCTCCAACATTCATAATCTCGTGATTGTTTAAGAAGCATCAGGATTGTATCATTCCAAATTTTCATGGAAACTTTCTGTCCAACGAGCTCAGTAATCTTGACGCAAATGAGAATGAAGCATGGAATATTTGTTATCACAATACACGAGAAACATGGATAGCTTTGTAATAGCAAAGTTTCTGTCATGCGGCTTGTCATATTACGGATTTTATCTTGATATCCATTGATATGAAAGAGCAAGCATGAATATCGAATCCTGAATTCAAGACATCATCATCTCTGATCTACACGAGCGCGGTAGCTAGCATCCACCACCGTCATCCATACCATCGCAGTCACCTCGCCTATCACACGGTTTATCTGAAACATGACTATCTTCGAAATGGATCTTTCTATTTGTTTCATGGCGAATGTTGTTGGCCGTCGTCTGAGATTGAGAAACAATCTCTTGTTCACTGAGGACTGTCCCGATAGGAGTGGACATTGCTTCCTTTCTGCCTTGCATGAGTTAGCTGTAGGGAGCTGAATAATGAATGTGGACACTGTTATTTAGGTGTTAGAAATACTTACACGTCTTGTTCTATATTGGGATGACATCTGCGGCAAGGTTCAGGATACATCTGATGAGTAGATTTTTGAACTTGTGCTTGACCTGCTGAGTAGATGCTGCAGGGAATGAAAGTTGACCGTGATCGTGCACATAAGTAAATTGCATCGAGCTTCATCCAATGTGCAGCCTTGGCTGGGCAGGTTACGATGTCAAAATTACACATTGTGTAGTTCAGATATCTGAGAAAAAGTTCGTGGGAATTTAGTAGGGACGAAGACAGATAGGGATTCAAAAACTTGATGTAATATCGTTATTTGAAAACAACTTGTGGGGGAAATATATAGCCTAGTGTTCCGTACACATATTCTAGAAGCTGCCGGATCCAAGAATTAAATCACTTTTATCCTCCCCCCCTCTTTCTCCTTATCTCTTTCGTTTCCAGTCCCCCTTTATTCACCAAGAGGAAGCGTTTGTATACTTATCTCTTCCCAGTTCCTTCTTTCCCAGTGTTGGAAAGCCTCAGATCAGATCATACGATTATGCATAAAGGCTGTTATGGCATTTTAAATTACGCAAAAAAACTTGCCCAGAATCTCCGGCAAAGTAATATTTTTGCAGGCTCTGAAAAATTGGAAGCTTTGTGGATAGACTCAAGCATTGCTTTATTTCAACAGAAGGAAATTCAAGCAGGAGGTATGAAAGCTTTTCATATGACAAGTTTCTACCATGAAAACAGACTCCCACACAGAGACCCTGAAGCAGAATTTCCTTTGAACATATGATACTTCAAAGATGTGATTTTGAATAGTAAATTCCATTCAAACAATCACATCCTTTTCCATATAATTTTGAAGTTCTCTTGTGCACTTCCACAAGACCTCAAAAGTAAAGACTTGAGAGATCTTCTTCATCACATCTTTCATCTTATCATTCTGAGCCTTCCAGCTCATTCTGCAATTGGAAAGATGGATGAGAAAAAACTAGAAGTCCTCTAATTCATATATAATGTCAGCCCATCTCAACGCCACAAAAGTGTTCTCAATGCACGTTACCATCCCATCAACATAAATTTATCCCATAATAATCATCACAAACATCGTGCACTCATAGTTCGCAAAACTGAACATGGCTTCCAATTCCCAGTATTTTCTTCGGTCCGATGTTAAAAAATGGCCGTGGATCACCATGTTCATTCGGCGGGAGGGTAATCGTCGATGTTGTCAAGCCATAGTCTATATTTGTAGAGAATGTAACAAGAGAGCCGATGTGCGTTATGTCTCCTGGTGTGATGTGCATCGAGTTACCAATGGTAATTGTGGAAAGCATCACACTAAATATTTTCGCGAGCGCGTGGCGGGAGAAATGTGTTATGGTTGTTTGATCATAAGTAGGAAGTAAGTGTCCGATTTTTTGCTTCAAGAGCTCTGTGGACTAACTACGCTACAGATTCTTAAAACATCCTCCCAAGTTTCGTAAGAAGCACCGTAAGCAGAGAAAACAGAAGAAAAGTAGAGCACTTGCTCCTTTCGATCGCGACAAGAAGAAGCGTCGAAAATACAAGGGACCAAAAGAAATGGGCGAAAAGAGAAAGAAATCATCGGTGAACTGGCCTGTTTTGTTCCAAGCTTTAATTTCGTGCATCTTGCGTTAAAAAGACGCAAGGAGGATTCATCCAGGTTTCGATAGAGTCATTTAATCATTCATAATTTGAGCTTGATGACTTCATTTCATGTCATTGAATCAAAACTAGGCCATGGATTAAATGTGCTTGCTCATCAGAGCAACTGATATTGCAAAATCTAATAATAAAGAAGTTTATCATAGATTGGACGGATACCCAGATTAGCAAAAAAATAATCAAGTACCTATTCACAACAATTGGCATGGACTACCGTTAGAATCTGTCTAAAGTAATTAGCTTTTGTAGAGTGATTATCCTATCGCAAAACTGCATTTGAAAAGATCTTTGGGCTTCATGTGAGGAACGATAGAGGACCATTTAATTCTCCGCACAAACACTGTAGTCCCAAGCCATACAAGTTGTTCGAAATGTGATTGATCTAAATTCTAGCTAGTAGCTATTCACAAGTTCTCCTACAACTACTACAACGGAGATGTTCAGATAGATCATCATTAGTAAGCAAAAGAGAGCTGCAGCCGAAATATCATTCTAGGGACAAATAGACGTGAAAGAAGAGGCTCCCTAAATTAATCTTGAAGTAAATATTTTCTTTAAGTTGTGAATTATTAAACTTCGAAGCAATATACTTACTACCTTACTTGAAATATCGGTAATAAATTTCACTTGGGCTCTAATATTCACGGAACGGAGTATGAAGGGGAATGAAAAAAATAGCCGAATATTTAAACGACCAAATGAAGAAGAGTGCGTAGAGTTTATTCTAAGTATAATTTAATTAGCAGACCAAATTTACATACTAAGTAAGCGAATACTGATCTCCCCAGTGAGTAAGCGATGTCATTTGTTATATGCCAATTAGATACTAACTAGAGTAAACATAATTCCTGTTTCACGTTAATCTTTAGCTAAAAAAGACTGCTCTTAATCAATTGCTAAACTAAGTTAAGATCATTCCAGAGCTGACTAGCTACCCACTTAATCGCAAGTAAGAGAGCTCAACTTGTGAGATAGATCGGTTACATCATTTTTATCTCCGTATCCTTCCATCTCCATGTCAAATTCCATTTCATCCGTCATTTCAGCCTCCGCCTTCGACTTCAATTGTGCCTTTGCACTCATTCTCGTTCTCTTAGGTATCTTTCTGGAAGTCTTCGTAGGTGTGCTATATCCACCTTCACTGCGAGACTTGACAATAGCTCTTCTATATCTCAGTTCATCATTTCTAGCTTGGTGGAATTTGATGTCCTTACTTCTTGCAAGCTTATCTCCTCCGGTTCCGCTTGGTGTGGGTTTGCGTTTAATACCACTTCGACTTCGATTGAAAAGACCGGGTCGCTTTAACACTCTCTTATCATCGAGTTCTAATGGTTTGGTGGCAGTGTTCGGGGGAGTATTCATGTAAATTTCGTCGGAAGTATAACCGGAATTTCTACTAATGATCTGCAGTTAGCCACGGATCTCACACCATCAAATCTCGAATCTCAAACCCTAATTGAAGGAGTACTAACCTCATGACACATTCTGCGCAATCTCTATCCTTGACTTCCTCCGAGTAAACCACATCAGGGATACAGGGCTTGTTATCGAAATGACTCCTGCATCTTGCGCTGTTCTCCTGCCCGTTGTGGAGACATCTGTATTGAAAGATGCTTATTTGGCAGCGTCCTGAGAAGATGGAATTTGGGGTAATATTCATTTTGATGATGCTTGTGACTTGAAGAAGTCGACTTGATGTGATTCGAAGAAGTTGTCTTGATTTGATTCTGATGATTTTGGTGTGAATTTGATAATCTTGACGAGGAACAATTAGTGGTGATATTTTTGGACTGATTAAATAGTTGTGACTTTGCGTCTGAAAGTCAGGAATAGATAATTGTGATGAAGCAGACGTGACTGGAACATATATAGACACGAGGAAGAGATATCTACAGCCGAAGGGGTTGATACGGCGTAAGCGTATTGGCTTAACAATCTGATGGCATACCGTAAACATTGTACGCTCTGACCGTATCACCCTCAGTATTACTCACATACGAGACTATTAACAATTGAGTCTACTGTACTATACAGAAATTATTTTGATAGAAGGTTGCCGTTAGAGCACTTGACACACCGTAAACATTGTAAGATTACGTTCTGACCGTATCATCCTCGGTATCACTCACATAAAAAGCTGTCACTAAGCATACCATACTATGCAGAGATACGGCTGATAGCAAATCACCACTAGAGCATTCAAATCACCGTAACTAAACATTCCCAGACTATTACGGTGATGCGAGCTGGATCTCTTTGATGAAGAAGTGACAGCAGCTACTCACTGCTTGGATCGGACGATACAAAAATTGTAGCACCTGATAGCTTTCAACTTTGAAATCCAACTGGATAATAATCAGGTACTCCACAAAATAAATTTGTTAAATAGAGTCAAAATAAGAGATGTCAGACAACAGCCTAAAATTGTTCAAAAGCGATATATATTACAACGATGTGTCCAGCATCAGAACTACTCTCGTTTTTGCTGAATATTTCACCCCCCCCCCTCCCCTCCCCGATGCTAATATAAAGACCGCAAATGACTATGCCCCCTGAATATCATGACAGATTCTAATCATCATAGACTAGGTTCTAATTTTTTTCTCCGAAGAAATGGGGAAAGGATATCAGCATCGATCCTATCAAGCCACCCTACATTTTACCATCCAACACAACCGCGTTAAAATCTAGATTTCTCTTGTCCTAATTGATCTACCCATGAAAGATAAAGATCAACAGCGGTACGAGATTTATCAAGACTCACGATAGTGTATATCATTATACAAGCAAAAGAAACTTCAGTGTTGTCTGTAGTAAACTTTGACTACCGACTAATCACCACCAGCTGAAATTTGAATATGAATATGTATCTAACATACAACCTTCACTCAAGCTCTAAGTTTCCTCTCTGGCATATTTAACACCATATGACCCTCCTCATGTTCCGTAAATCCCAGTTTCTCCGCCTCCTTCCATACCTCTGGATATAATTCCCTTGTCCATTCCGCCACTAGATCTTTCCTATTTGAGCCTTGAATTGCATTATAAATTGTTCCAATGCTGCTTCGTGTTAGAAAACCCCTTAGAGCAATAGAGTAAGAACACAACTTACGTCAATATATCTGGGCCAAAGCCAACATCCTTCTCCATAGCCTCCACCAATACCTTGACCTCATCTAATTTTCCCTGTCCAGCTAATGCACCAGCATAAGCAGCATGGACTTCCCTCGTGATTTCAATCTCCATCCTCTTCATCTTATCCCAAATCTCCCTTGCTGGTTTATCCCCAAAAGGTTTTCTCTGGCAAGCTTGAAACACTATTTCCAGACTCTTGTAACTAGGTCCTTCGCGAGAATTCGTGATATCATCCCAGAAATGCAGAGATCGACTAGCGTCTTCGCAAGCTGTATAAGCCAGCATTAAAGAGTTATATAGACGGGTATTAGGTTCTATGGTACTGTCCATTTTCAACATATTGTGAACCATGTCGAGAGACTCGGCATCGGCACACGATGCTATACCAACAAAACAGTCTATGTAAGTATCTAATACAGGACGTCTGTTAGGGCTGATATGCTGACGCATGTGACCAAAGACATGACAAGCCATATCCGATCTTTTGCGATCGAAGAATTCATTCATAATGCGCGTCCGTGTGGGAACATCAGTCTCGTCGAAGATATGGGTGACGACACGATAAGCATCCCATATGCGATCTTCATGGTTGTTTCTGTCAAAACAGAAAGCAAGTATCGCATCTCGTATCTGAGCTCGCTCTAAACGGGTATAGTGGTAAGTATTGACTTGTAGCAAATCTACCGCATCGTGAAGTTCGTTGCGGGCAATGTACATCGTGGAGAGTGAAGAAACTGTATCCGCTTCTAGCCTTGCATTACGCTCGTCAAGATCGGAAACGATTGATGAAATCTCGTTGTAAGGCAGATTCTCAGAGGCGCAGAGTGCTCGGACGAATCTATTAATGACGGGCAAATCCTCGTCCTTGTATATCTCCTCGCCTTGAAGCAGGTTATAGGATGCATGGGCGCCCGAAAGATCTCCAGCACCAACACGATAGTCCATCTGCAGGATGAAAGTTCTTGCATTTGGACGAATATTGAACTTTTGCCCCAATGCGATATAACGCTCTGCAAGATAGGGATCATTTTTCGATATTGCATGTTCGACCAAACCATTGATGGTGTCAATATCAGGTCTCATAGAATAATCGTCAGGATAACGCTTTTCCATGATACGCATCATACGTTCCACATCTTCAACGCCCTTGTCCATAGCACTTGCAGCCCATTGAAACACAACATCCCACTTTTCTTTTTGCAATTTTTCTGATTCCAGAACTTTGCGAAAAATACCTTTACACCAGTCTAGCAGTTCCTCATGACGAAGACACAATTTGAGTATATCTTGCAATATACTAGGGGTAAGTTCCACTGGATCATGGAAAACTTTCTCAAACCACGCTTGCGCTTCCGCAACACGGTCCCTAGACGTATAAAACTCGACGACGATTTCCTTGCTAGTATTATGACGTCCTAGGCGTAGCTCTTCCAGTCTCTCGTATGTCTTTAGTAGTTCCACCTCGTTCCCTTCTCGCGCAAATCCAGATAAAACGGTAAACCAGTTCCGTTTCATGATTTTGCGCTGCGTAGCGCTGTACTCTTTGATTGAAGATCCCGAGGGAGTTTTCTCATCTTCTAGAAAATTTCGAGCCTCCTCTTCGCAAAGCTCTCTAGCCTCTAGAGATTTCCCAACCCCACTCAGTATCTTTATAAAGCGTTCGTAACTTGGCGCATTCTCATTAGATCCAGATAACTCCGACAGCTTCTTGATCTCGAGGAAAAGAAGTCTTGCTAATTCCAGAAAATCGTTCGTCTCGTCTTTAGGAATGATCGTCAATGCTTTCAAAGCCGTCATAAAATCCTTGAGGTGTCCATCCCCCAACCCACAACTAACCAGATACTTCAAAGTCCTCAACGCATGCCCCGCCTCGATATTATTTACCGCTCGTTCCGTATCGACCTTATGTTTGAAGAATTCATTGAAAGCTTTGAGCATTTCATTTTTATTCGCAGTTCGTGCGTGGATCGTCGTCATCAAGCTAAATTCTGCCATTTTTCTCATTCCGGGTTCCAAGTCCGGCGCTTTTGGTTGTCGTGGAGGTTTCCGAGAAAATCCAAAAAGAGAACGACGCGATGCGTAAGATACCGTAGGAAGTGCATTCCGGCGACGTCGAAGTGTTAATGACGGTGGCGCTCGATTTTGGCATGGCAATATGAGGCCTTCGTTTGATAAAAGTCCACGGAAGACTCTGCGGGTCAATTGGGAGCGCATGGTTGAGAAATGGTAATGCTATGTACAGAATCTACAGAACCAAAGGATTAGATGAAAATAGAATAAGCAGTGCAGTTGTTTGACTCACGGTATAATAGAAAGAATTACAATTGACGTACTAAGAAGCTTCGAGGTGTTCATTAACATTTTTGCCATTGGTCTTCGAAGCTTGGAAAATGTGCGGCAACTTCCGTTTAGATCCGCATTAAAATTCAGCCAATCATTGATGTTGGGGAGCTACCCCTCACTAATCCCTATTTGAAACAACTTGGCTTTACTGGACTAGCCGGAGGTCACTAATTGAATTAATGATATCAATGAACCATTTAAGAGACTAAATTAGAAGATTAAAATTTCGTCTAGATTGAAACAACCATCACATATACACAATAGTCACCTCGAGCTTGTATTAAGCTTAGCTGCCCTTGAAGATCGTTTCAATTATCTCGATTCCATGAGACTAAAACTGCCAAAACCATCAGAACCACCAATCTGAAATATTTAATCTACTACTACCCCGAGAAAGCTCATCATCCATGGATTACCCCCAAAAAACACGCCAGCCAATCTAAAATCCTCCACCACCATCTGCAAAACGCCAATAGAATCATAAGTCATACCATCAATGCCCATTCCATATATAGCTTAACGCCATCTCGATGTCCAGAAACATATATAAAGCTCATAATCATAGTAATTCAGGCTCTTCATCTTCCATACCCTCTTCATCACTATCCCATTCTACATCGTTTGCAGCTGCTTCGGCTTTGCGTTGAACCTCTGCTAAGCCACTCAATTCGGTGATGTAGTCCTTTTCAGTTAATGCGCGCTTGATAAATTCCCATCCATCTTCTTTGTATGCATTCACAATCTTTGGTGAGCAGGCTGAGCAGCAATCGTAAGAAGGGCCGCTGATTAGCATTGTTTTGTAAGCGGCCAAGAAACCTCGAATCTGATGAGGTACAAGACCTAAAGGGTGATTTGGTGGGTCCCGATCGAACTCCAATTGACCAGATTGTTGGTTTGGGGAGAGCTTCGGAGCTGGAGCAGCACCTTTCAACGGGTGTTGAATAACAGACGCAAGCAGTTCTACAAGCTTAGAAGATGCTTCGGGCGCAACACCAGGACGAGTGACTGTGCACTGTTGATCAAGAGTTTGGTCTTTCACAGACTAGAAGAGTCATGTTAGTAAATCATGTAAAAATGGAAAGATAGCTGGAAAACTTACGTCAGATGGCGCTACAACATCATTGCAGAAGTAACAGCCTAGAGCGGCAGGACCTCCATCTTCAGGAGTAACCCCATGCCTCATCACAACATACGTGTCAAATCCCAAAGCTGCATTCATCACTATCTTACCAGCCGCTTTGCCCATAACAGTTGGGAGCCATCTACTCTCACGAGTATCCATTAATAAAAAGATTGCATCGTGATCCTCAATAAGCTTTTGTAGGAGTTCGAAGTTCGCCTTCGTAGCAGCTTCATCTGTGATCGGATGTCCAAGCATTGGTACTGCCATCACATGTCCAGTGCTATCAACTCCTGGATAAATTTCCTGAAGAGCTTCAGATGCTCTATATGCTTTCTTGGCGCCGCCATCAATACAATCTTTGAAGTCGAACAATGGCTGGCGAACAGGATTCGAAAAAGATACGGAGGCATTGTCAATGAAGGTTATTTTGCGTACGCCCCAACCCATCAGAAGTCTCGAAACGTATGTCCCAAGGGTTCCAGCTCCGAGTAGCAAGCATTTCGTGTTCTTAATAGCATCCAAATTCAATTCAGGTGCGATGCGCCACTTCATCAATTTAAGATTTAAATCTACCGCTTGGTCGGCTAATTGAGCGGGATCCATGTATTGAGCCAAATTGGTGACTTTAGCAGTAAGCTTTCCAAGACTATTACGCTCCCAGCCTGTTACTTTAGGTATCTGATCCGGAGCATTGAATTGATATTCTGGGTCGTAGATGCTCTCTAAAATCAAGATTAAACTCTGAGGCACATGGCGTTTTGCATGATTATCTCTGTAGCAAAGTATTTGGACTTTGTCGAGCTTGTACCTCCGTCTAACTAGGACTAACAGGTTACGTAGCATCCACCCCGGATTCTCATGATAAGTAGACGGGTCAACAAAAGATACATATTGATCCTTTGTATCTACACCATTAAAGAACCCATTTTCGAATTCTCTCAAGGATCCGATAACCCACTTGAAGGGCAAATCGGAGGTCGATTCATTCTCTGGATCTTGTGGCTGTTCCGAAGATGGATATACTCGCTTGGCTAGAAAGAACCCATGCTCTCTATTATCGTGGCTGTAACGCCATGTACCAAGTTCTTCCGTAAGCGCCGTGGTTTCTTCTGCACTAAATTTAGGCGGCTGTTCAACTTTCCGCCATGCCGGCTCCGAATGGAGAGCAGGAAAAGCAAACCAGTATGTAAAAGTGTACTTCTTCAAATTTGCAAACGACAAAATAGTGAATGAAGAAAGTAATGAAGGGATGGAATAAATGGTGCCATCATTAATGGCATCCCAAATCTGCCCCTGTCAGAACGGAATCGAAGCGAGTCGATCAGAAGATCACGGGACTTACTTGTTTGGCAGAAGTTTGTAACATTGCTTGTTTGTCCATATTTTTGAAATCTTCGATGGTATTAACATTCTTGATTTTGCCCTCCGCTCGAATGTGACCAGATGGAACACTATGAATGAATCAGTACGCGTATTTGAAACACGAAGGTGAATCCATACTCGTTGCTACTCAAAGCATTACCAAGAACTCTCATACGAGAACTTTGATCAGGACTCTGTGTAGCTCTTGGTTCATATAACCCAAGAACAGGTCTTGCAGAATCGTCCAGTTTATCATGATCGATCTTTAGTTGGGAAAGAGCTGTGTAAAATGGTAGCTCTATTTCAGAAGCAAATGGAGCGAACTTTAAAGCCATGTCGAGTTGATTGTTATCCTTTCTCACGCGAATCGCTGTGTATAAATCTTCAATAGTAGAAAATGAGGTTATTAGTTCTTCTACCTCTCCGTCCCAAGGGCCTTCTTCGATGAAGGCAACGTCGGTATCTTGGGTACAGTCTTGACTCTGAAGATCAAAGCAATTTGGTTAGCTTTGTTGATGTTTTGTAAGAGTTGATGTGATCTTTTTTGAGATCGTGGGAGAAGTAAAAATATCTTATGAATGAAGTCAAGTTGTAAGAAGTGCAGTGTGACACTATAGTCTTAGGTTGAAATCATGAGATAGATGGAGGAGGGGCAATTAGGTTAGTGGGATAGCACGTTGAGTGATTCAGTAAGACAAGGATTCAACTCACATGGTCCGAGGTTATATAATCAGCCAATCGGTGATACTCCGGCAAATTCATGATTGTTTCTCTCCAAGCTGCCTTTGCTATTTCAAGCTTCCATGGAAATTTACAAAACTTCCCACCACACATCTTCACACAATTGAATGAAATCAAAATTGTGATCAAAGTTTCAAGGAGCTTTGGGATAAAGAGAAAGTTAAGAAAGCCATGTTTATAGGTCTGTGTGGAGGTAAGTGAATATCCTAAGCTTATATACAATAATATTTAGTTGACCTTTGATCACAGGAATTTGTGCTGGCAAGAGTACAATCGCACAATATCTTGTAGAGCACCATGGCTTTACTCACCTTTACCTTCGACCAGAGCAAGGCAACAAAAGCTCGACTCAAATCACCAATGGCATCACAGCTGAGGAATCAGAAAATGTTGAAGAGAATAGCATAACTCTAAGACAGAAGTCAAGATCTCAATCGCAATCCCAATATACTTTTACAAGCACCACAGACCTCCTCGACTTCGTAACCAAGCGCTGGCGCGAACGATGGGTGACAACCAATATCTACACCGAGTCTATCCTTGACGCCCTCCTCCGGCGCCCCTTCTTCATTCTCGTCAGCGTCGACGCCCCAGTCTCCATCCGCTGGAAACGCTTCCAAGCACGGCCCAACACACCTTCCACAGCAATCACTCTCGAAGATTTCCTCCTCCGTTCCGATGAGCATCTTTACGATCCCGAACACGGTCTTCAATCCCTCATTTCCCGCGCTACTATTCGTCTCCTCAATACCTCTTCCGATCTCGCCCACCTATATGCTACACTCGGCAAACTCGATTTAACAAATGAAGACCGTCTTCGACCAAGCTGGGATCAATACTTCATGCAACTCGCCTCGCTCGCCGCCCAGCGCAGTAATTGCATGAAACGCCGCGTAGGTTGCGTCCTAGTCCGTGAAAAACGAGTCATCTCAACCGGTTACAATGGCACACCCAGAGGTCTTCTCAACTGCGGAGAAGGAGGTTGTTCCCGCTGTAACGAAGGACAAGGCTCTGGAGTAGGACTCGGCACTTGTCTCTGTCTTCACGCAGAAGAAAACGCACTTCTCGAAGCCGGTCGCGAAAGAGTTCGCGAAAACGCCATCCTATATTGCGATACCTGTCCCTGTCTCACATGCAGTATCAAGATTGTACAAGTGGGAATTTCAGAAGTGGTTTACAGTCAAGGATACAGTATGGATGCGGAAACAGCAGCAGTGTTTGGTCAGGCGGGAATTAAACTAAGGCAGTTTATTCCGGTATGTGAAAATTCCTAGCTAGCCTGCAGCATGAGCGAGTTCACTCACTAATCCCTTTTTCTTCACAGCCGGCAAATGGTTTAATCCATCTAGAAAAACAGTCACTATATTAGCATTTTAAAGCGATGATACCCCAATTTATACATAGCATAGCGAAGGATGGGAAAGCATATAAGCATTCACACACAGATATTTCCACTATTTACGCACATACGTAGTGTGTGAAAGACACCCCCTTCAAGATAATCTTCTTTCTCCTTTCTCTCCGCGCTCAACCTTTCCATCTTCCCCTGTCTTTCCTCGTACCGTATCGACCAACTTTTGCATCAAACTCCCAACTACTCATTTCTAATTTCTGATCTTCAAGTATAACAGCAGCACTAACATCCCCAACATCCCCAACATCTCCATTTATATCTCTCTCTCCATTCTCTCCCCTATCCCCACTGCTCACTGCTCACTGCCCACTGCTCACTACCCACCCAATAGGAACTAAGACTTACATTCATTACACAAATTAAAGTTACATATACATACAATACACACCCCCTCACCCCCTTACCTAACCATCCACCCATCCACCCATCCACCCATCCACCCATTATTCTCTCATTCAATTCCTCAATAAATAACAACAGAACAACAGAACAACAGAACTTAAAGCCTCAAAGCCTCAAAACCTCAAAGCCTCAAAACCTATCATAAACATAGAAAATAAAAAGCACATCCATCCATTCATATCTCGCATCCCATCAACATCTCATTCCCTCCATTCCCTCCATTCCACATATCAATCATATATCACATATCATATATCACATATCACACAATCAATCAAGCAAGCAAGCAGGTAGATATACAGGTATTTGAATTCATCTGCATTTGCAATTCATTTGCAATTCATCTCCAAATCCAAATGCAAACCCAAAATGCAAATCCAAAATGCAAACCCAAAACGCAAACGCAGAATCCAGAAGAAATTCGTTCTCATATTTCATTTTTCATTCCATTTCATATCCATGATATCATAATACTCATAATACACATAAACGCATAAACGCATCCATATCTAAAAGAAAAAGAAAAAGAAAATAAAAACGAACCAAATCCGCCGCAAAAAAGAAATCCAACGCAGAAAATCCAACGCAAAACCAAGAGTGAGTAAATAAATAAAAGGTATTATTTCCACGGCCGTGACATCATTCATTACCCATCCCAAGCAACGCAGAAAGGAAAAATGGCGAAAAGCAGAAACATGAAAAGAAAGCACACCCGCTATATCCCATCCCTAGATCTCTCTATCCCTATCCCTATCCCTCCCTCTACTCCTACTAGCTCTCCTACCATTTCTCCCCCTACTCCTCTCCCTCTCCCTCTCCCTCTCCCTCTCCTCATCCTCTCCACCCGCCACCGAACCACGGCTCGAAGCTCCCGCCAACCCACCCTCCTTAACAAACCCCATCAAAAGATCTCCCCACGTCTGTTTCCCCGCCACCACATCTCCCACGCCCCTAACCACCCTCTCAACCATTTCATTCCCACCACCAAACTCCTTTGCAATATCTCTCTCTCTTTCGCGACTGCCACTCCCATCTCTACTCCGACTTAACGGTCTCCCATCTCTATCAAACCTTGCTGGCAACACCTCCACATCATCATCCTCACTCTTTTCACTATCACTCTCATCACCATGTCTTCCTTTCCTATGTTTACGGTGTTTACGAGGTCTGGAAGGGCGATCAGAAGAAGGATCCGAGTTACGTCTTCGTCTTCTTCTGTAGCGACGATCCGAAGATGGATTTGGTTGTTCATATGTATTTACCGTGGAAGTTGATTGATCCGCTTTAGAACTACGTATACGTTCTAAGCGACGGGAAGAAGTGGGAGATAGAGGAGCGAACATGACAGATTTGTTCGAGGGAGTAGCTTCGATTGGTGTCAAGGGTGAATCGGGTCTTGATGGTGTTGGAACATTTAGACGATCTAGAAAAACAAGTATTAGTATGTTGATGAATCATGACAATTATGTTGTACACATGGAAAGGAATGAATAATAGCAACGCACCCTCCCGGTCGTAAACATGATCAGTTTGAGGTGGAGAGGTTTCATGAAAAGGGAAATAAGACTCCTCTCTTGTATGAGGAGGTACTGTCATAAAAGGTTCGGGATTCGAAGATTGATGAGTACTCACATTGTCACCAGGAACTCTGGGTGAAGGTGGGTAATGATGAGAATCATGAGTAGTAGGGCGTTGACTTGCATAGTCTTGAGGATTGTAAGGAGGGATAGGAGGGATTTCATTAACAAAAGGTGTAGATTTATTTCCATGATGGGTGAAGGTTTCTGGGTTAGAAGGAGGAGGTGGTGGGAATGCATTATTTTCAGGATAGTATGAGCCTCCAGAAGCGTGAGGCGGCGAAGGCGAATATGTCTCATCACGGAAATTCGTGTAGTAACTTTCAGGTGCTTCGTCTTCATAGCCTGATTCAAAACGAATGTTAGTACGAAAAAAAGAGATACATGAGGCCGAGCCACTCGAACAAATGATTTAACAGATATTGGAAGTACCTATGGACATGAAAATGAAATAACAAGATCATTCGGGGGTTTTGGGGATAAGATTTGAAAATCTTTTGGATAGAGACGATCTTATTTCCGACGGGGAAACCGAGCGGGAACTTGATCTAGAGTGCTGGGGGACCTCACGTCTTCGTTCGCGCTCACGCTCATGTTTTTCTGCGTCCTTTTTTTCTTTCTTCTCCTTTTTCTCTTTTCTCTTTCTATATTCATTGATTCCAATGGCGGCCGCACCTGTACCCAACGCACCAGCAGCAAGATCTCGTACTCTGCTACGGCTTCTACTTCGTGATCGCGATCGTGGTCGTTCTCCATCTTCGTTAGATGAATCTCGTTTGTGTCGGCGCGATCGACTTCGACTACGTCTGGTAGCACCGTAAGCAGCTCCAGCTGTGGCCGCCGCGACAGCTGGATCGTACTCGTTAGGTCGATCGAATGGTGCTGGCTGCTGGTGCGTGTATACAGGTTCAGTACCGTACTGAACCATGCCTAATTCTGGGTCAACACCTGGATCAGAATATACGCCTGTAGATCTGGCTCTCGACCTGCTTCTAGTTCTGCTCCTAGTCCTGCTTCTTCTTCTCTCCCGTCTCTCATACACCTCATCTTCTTCGGCCTCCTGCTTGGCCTTTCTATTCTCATACAAACCGGCCACGGCAGCACCCGCAAGACCTGATCCAGCTATCTCCGCAGCTGTTCGAATTCGTGACTGCGATCGTTGACCACTACGCCTTCGAGATTTATTCCGGAAATGCTCTGCGACACCAGCGACTATAGCAGCTCCAGCTCCAGCTTTTGCCATGGATTTCTTACGATGCGCTGGATCGGCATGTATGCTCTTGCTCCTGCTCCTACTTCCATCACGTATGATGGTAGTACGCTTTTCATACTCATCGGACCAATATTCATCGCCATCAGAATAACGGCGACCACGAGACATACTTCTTTGTCGACTTCGACCACGAACTAACTCTTCCTTGTTTGCAGTTCTGTTCTGGGCGTATTTGACAGCAGCTCCAGCGGCAATTGCAGCAGCTGCCAAACCAAGGGCTGTCTTCAACTTATGATGGCCGTGTGGGCTGCTTGATCTGGACCTGCTTCTGCCCTCACGACTGTCGCGATAACGACTGCGTGCTCTAGTAACTACTTCAGCACCAATCGCACCTAAAGCAGCTCCACCAATAACGTTTCTACCACGATGAGCAATTTCAGATCCTTGCTTTTCCTTGTGGCTTGCCAAAAGAGCAGCTGCACCAGCTCCAGCTAAGGCACCTTCTGCCAAGTGTCTTCGGTGATGAGGGCTATGACTACGACTGCGTGTTTCTCTCTTGACAACCTTTTTCCGTATGACATAACCTTCACTATCATATCCATCATCGTAACGACGATCATAATCCTCGTCACGATCTCTCCTTCCACCAACCTCGCGAACATCCCTACGATAATAGTACTCATCTTCTTCTCTCCGCGGGTCAGGTCGTGGAATGATTTCTTGTTGTATTTCCGTCTTCCTTTCAATAACTTCAACCCGTTGTGATTCCGGCGCACTTTGTGGTATAATGATTGGAGCCGGGCTTGGCGCTTCTTGAACAATAATTTGTTGGGGTTCGGGAGCTCTTTGTCGAATGATAATTGGTGGTGGGGTAGGTTCTGGTCGATCATAGTACTCGGTTTCTCGGGAGTATCTTTCGAGTTCATAGGGTTCATTATGACGTCGAGCTATTGTCTTTTCGACTGTGACATCAGTTTCGCGATCCGTCTCCCATGGTCTATCATTCCGACGCCGTTCCCAAGGCAAGGGACTCCCACTTCGTTCCCGCTCCCGCTCATAAACTACTGTTCTAGTGCGATCTCGTTCACGTTCGGGTTCTCTAGCTCGCTCAACGGTACTTCTCTGATATTCAACCGCTCGATCATAGTCGACAGCTGAACGAGGTCTTTCAGGTTCGTACCGTTCACGATCAACTTCAACCCTTCGATCGACCTCAATTCGCTCCGTTCTTCTGACTTCTGGTTCATATCGGTCCACTTCTACTCTGCGATCAACTTCAATACGTTCGGTACGTCTTGGCTCGGGTTCGTATCTTTCGCGATCAACCTCAACTCTTCGGTCTACTTCGATGCGTTCCGTTCGTCGCACTTCGGGCTCATATCGTTCACGCTCGCGATCAATTTCGACTCGACGATCCACTTCCACTCGATCACCCGATCGAGTTTCGTACTCTCGATGGGAAGAACGAACGGATCGAGTGTCGTCTACTTCCTCGACTCGATTAGGAGCGACCCGATAACGTTGGACGGTACGATAAGTACTACCATTTGGTTTCGAACGACCGTAGGTTGACCGTTCTTCATCGGAGGAGTAATAGTCGACCTCTCGGTCATGATAAGAGCTGCGAACCACTCTTTCAGGCATTTTGCAATGTTTACCCTGTAGTTATTGCCAAAAAAGTAAGGGTAAATGGGATATGTGTCCGGAGACCACACGGTATATGTTTGTAAGTAGATTTGTTGGTTGCGAGTGATTTTAATAAGAAGAAGAAAGAGAAGAGCAGAAGTTGTAAGTTGTTGTTATTTGTTGGTTGAGGGGGGTTGGAAGTTGGAGGATTACTTTGGATCGAGGCTTTGCTGCTGATACCTTGCGCGCTCACTCTTCCTATTGCCCCTCCTGACACAAGCGTATGTATGTAGGGAGGTACTAGGTAGGTAGGTAGTAGTGAATAAATTTAATGATTAGGATTTGATCTGGTTGGTCCCACGGCCTGATGCGCCAATAGCTTATGTAGACATCTCGTGATATAGTAAGCCAAATGATTGATTTGTATGGTTTGAGAGTTGAATGAATAGATAATAGAAGTGGTGATGATGTTGTGATGATGTTGTGATGATGTTGGTGAGAAGCTTATTGTATGTATTGTATGTAATGTGCACTCGAGTATATAAGAAATCAAAGATATGTATACTGTACGAAGTAGTAGATGATGAGGGGTGATTCTTTAGATTTCCACACAGATACGATACTCGAGTAATTGGGGGTGAGGGGGGTAAAACAATTTGACAGTGGGGACCACCAGACTTCGGATGAAAGTGGAAGTGGATTGGAAATTTGCGTCAGTGTACATATATGAATTGGGCGGAGTCAAGCTTTTTCGCTGCTTGAATGCACAAATCCACACACTCAACTTTTACTCAACTTTTACTCAACGAAAGAACCAAAGCAAGCAATTTATTATTACTGTGCAGCATGGAATCACCACGACATCACCACGATCTCTCGGGCGTCTACTCACAAAATCTCTTTGGGTACCCATCTCAACCACGGGGAACCTGGGAGTGTTGGATCTGGCGAGCTGGTGAAGAAAAACAACCCTCGTAGCGCTGGGATTAGGTTTTGGATCATCCAAGGAAGCGTGACGGCCTAGGTACAGTACAGTATTTGAGGAAAAGGAAGCCATTCGAAGTTTGTGTGCGGTCCCATGTTGGGCCTTGTGATACTCATTGTCTTGTCTGTCTCATCAAGCTTTTCTGAGACTTGACTGATACCGTTTAGAATTGTTGAGATGTTGGGTAGAGGTGAAGGTATAGGTGTAGGTAGATACTAGGTAGGTATATAGTAAGATCTCGCATCTCTTCTGGTATAAATAAGCGTCTACTCAATAATTACCCAGGAAGGTAAATATGAAAGAATTTAGCTATAATCTTGTATTTATATTCATTAGTTAACTTCTCATTATTATTATCATCATCATTATTATTATCTTTAATCTCTTTATTTCCCCAACCTCTCAAATGTTCCTTCTATTCATTCTTCACAATTTCGCACATATTATAAGAGGTAGGTATTATTATTATTATCCAGGTCGGCAGCTTTTATCTATTCGCCCTGGCTTGAGAGCTGGAGGGGCGTATCCTTGTAGAAAAATGACCAAAATGACCAACTTATGCAGCGTGGAAAGTTTGGCGTAAGGTTAGCAAAGCGAATGAATGACGATGACGCACTCGTATCTTTGGGACATTTTACATTTTACAATCAAACTTCTACATTCAACAATCACAAATAAGGTTCACAATAAACAATGAAACAATTCCATCCAAACTTCTAATCGTCAGTCATATTGGTGTGTAACTAGTTTTCGTAGTTCCCGCGGGTTGATCGGGTACCTACGATATACATACTAATGACACAAGCTAGAGACTTAGCACACCATCTACCAGACCTCAGCCGTCAACAGAGCCGCACCTGGGCATGTGAAGTTACAAACGATCTCGGTAGATGGTTCAAGACTGAACTCACAATACCTACTGCGCCACGAGATAACGGATATTCGCATTCATGACCACCACGACGCCTCGTTAGATACAATCAGATACCTAGGTACCTACCTGTGGACCTACCTAGCCATACCTTAACCGCCACATCAGCGGTCAAAACAATCATGGGCGTTAATGTACTCTCTTCATATCACTACGATCATTCTAGATGAACCATATTCCCAAGTAAACTTTCCAAAAACGAGACCATCAGTCAAGACCGAGTAGAAGCCACAGATCACAAAGTCCAGCCTGCACGCCATCCATGCAAGTCAAGACGATTAGGCTTTTCGATCTACAGCGCCCAATTCTGTGAGTTTATTTAGAAAGTCGATCAGTTTAAGAATATAAGGCTGGTTTAATCTCGAGATCATCTCGGATCTTTGGGTTTCAACTTTCAAAGCTGGCTGTGTTTGCTGCTGTGGACCGGTGGTGTTGGGAGGATATGTGATTGGTTGGATATGGTATTGCTTACGAAAGGAAATTCAAACCGTCTCCACTCATCCTTCACTTCGCCTCGTGGAATATATGTTTGATGTCTGGTCTGGTCTGGGTAGGTATGATTACACGCGATACAGTCAGGTTGAGATCGTATAGCTCATCGATATATTATTTATGGATAGCTCTCCAGAAATGCAAAGTTTCTTATACAAATCTCTATCGATATATAATTGATTTCATTCAAATTCTTTCCCTACTATCAAGTAATAATGTTACCGATATTGCGATTTCTATTGCTTCTCGTAAGATTACAACAAAACCGTTTAGCCAGGCTTCTACTATTCTCAAGCACATAACGGTGACTTATCTCAGATCACTGAGTATGAGGTATAGTCTGACATTCTCATTTATGTTAAAACGCATGAATCCAAACCAAACAATATAGCATCCATATATGTGCATCCTGATTCCAAAAGATGCACTTGCTGGTATGTAATCATACACATCATAAAACACAACACTCATCGCGACAAATGACCGACAATCAATCATACTGTATCTTCTCAAAGTCAATGAGCTACCGGTAGGTCCCCAACACCGATTCACAAAAGCGCGTTAAATGACGATACTCATTTAACATCTTTAGATGTGATCACCACACTATTCAAGTACCACATTATAGCCTGGTAGGTTAAAACCCCATGAAATCAAACTTCAATCCGTAGGTACCTAGGCCAAATAGAATACTTCATTCAACATCGCAAAATCGAGTCACTAAATTGATATAAGACTAACAATCAATCCAATATAGGTAAGTAGGTAGGTACTTCTAAACAATACCTAGGTATCCAGAGCAGAAGAATAATTACTACGGCTATCCATGATTTCCAGTAAACACTAAATGATTTCTTTTCATTTTTCACTAAGGTTATGAGATATCTAGTTTCAATCTCCATTTCAATCTCACATCTCTACCGAAAAACTCACATCTCTACCGAAAAATTACAGCACAATATCTACTAGGTAGGTAGGTATTCAATTTCATATTTCATATTTCATATCTATCTCCATACAAAGTATCGAGATGAACCTTGGAATACCACACTACAGCAAGTAGTCCATAAATCTCATCATTTGTTTGCTTCTAATGTAAGGTTATCTACATCTTTCCTTTTTCATTCTTTTTCTTTCCTGTTTTTATTCTTTCTTTTTCTTTGGGGGATCAAGATTCTGCAGGTACAGGTCTCTAGGAATAGCAACAGCACCAGCGACGGAGTCGCTCCCAGATTCCGGGTTGTTGGGGTGCTGGTTGGGGTGCTGGGGATGGGGATGGTTCGGAGTTTGATGATGATCCTGGGTTTGATGATGGGCCTGGGTTCGATGATGGTCCTGGGTTTGGTGATGGTCCTGCGTTCGGTGCTGATACTGGTCCTGGTGTTGATACTGATGCTAGTGTTGGTCCTGGGTTCGGTGATGGTCCTGGTCCTGGTGCTAGTGTTGGTGCGGATGCTGGTCCTGGTGTTGATACTGGTGCTGATACTGGTCCTGGAGCTAGTGTTGATGCTGGTGCTGATACTGGTCCTGGTGCTAGTGTTGGTGCGGATGCTGGTCCTGGTGATGGTCCTGGTGATGGCTCGGGTGCTGGTGTTAATGGTGGTGTTAGTTCCGGTGGTGGTGTTGATGGCGGTGTTGGTTCTCTTGCTAGCGTTGGTGCTAGCGTTGGTGCTGTTGCTAGTGTTGGTGCTAGTGTTGGTGGTGGTGCTGTGATTGTGTTGCTATTCTCCGACGATGGCTGTGCTGAGGGGGGATTTTGAAACGCTAGTGATGCTATCGCGTGATCTTGGTCTGGAGATACATGAGCTGAGGATTGTGAGTTTAACGTCGAAAGTGGAAAACCTCCAGGCTCGCTCCACCCTGCTGACAACATGTTTCGATTGGCAGGACCTGGTGATTGCAAAACATTGGTAGACGTAGGCTGAAGTGCCGCCGTTCCTCCTTGTGTGATGTTACTGCTGACGGGTACATATCGACTTGCTGGTAGTTTTTCCAGTGACATACGATCTTGGTTACCTATATCCAGATCATCGCTGCTGATGTTTTCTTTTAGTCATGGTCTAGGAAACGTGGAAAGACTGAAAACTTACTCTCTTGTGCAATCCCTACAATACATATTCCTATCAGGTGTGATCATGGGTATCGCTTCTCTACAATAAGCATCCCCGACCAAATGTCTTCCACACCGGTATCTGTGGTGGTAATCATCGTGTCCACATTTCAAGCATCTGAATCTGTCTATTTCGCAATAGTAGCCAGAGGTTACATTACTAGGAGTATTCATGATGATCGTTTTTGAAGTTTTGCAATTTCGATTTTTGAATTTTTGCAATTTCGATTTTGAGGTTAGACATACATGTCATTTATAGACCATAGTTGGTAGTTTCTTTACATATTTGATTCATTCGTTGTGAGGGTCTATTGAAAGGTTGATTGTGCTCTCATTACATCACATAGAGAGTCTATTCATGTTCCGCGAGTTCATTGCTTGTTAGACTAAGAAAGGTGAATCTCAATCAAATACTTCGTGACTCATGCTGCTATTTTCATTTTGAGATCTACAGAGGAAGGAGATAATGCATTGTAGTCAAAGGGTCAGATTCTTTTGCTTCAAATTTCCTCAATATTCTATTCTATTGGTTTCCTCCTTCTACAATAGGGAAGTTCGCTCAAATTCGGAATGTTCTTGTTTAGTTGGAGAGAATTCGAGGCTGGAGTAGAAGGACTTTTCTTTTGCTATCTGCGGATGATATGAAATTTATCGCGGCTTGTTAGCTGTTACTCGAATGTAGTCATTCTCAGGAATGATATCTTCAAGTGTTGGGTTTGAGTTGTTTTGCGGGGATTTGGGGATAGGGAAAATGGTGGTGATGATGGGTGAATAACCTGTTCCGTTGAATCAATCAACTGTATCTAAAGATTGTTTTTTGGGCAGACTGCAATCGATTACGGTATCATGGGATGTTTAGATTGCCATCGACTATCAACCGGCTTACATATCATTCCGAATTGTTTTCAACTCAGAATGCTGTTTGAATTCAATAGACTTGAAAGTATCGTTTTTAACAGTAACGATGGTATCAATTATTGTCTTTGCAGGCAAGCTATCACTCAAGTGACACATTATTTTCATCTTCACGAAACCATCGAATACGGTAATCAACCATTTATAATTTCTATCATAAAACCAAAACTTCCCATCCCGGAAGCATCTCAAGAGGTTCCAAAGTATCTAATCCGACCCCCATACTCCTAAGAACCCGTCTTTAAAGAGAATTGTAGTATTCAACCATATATGCCATTTTTTGGTTACCCAGAAGAATACATCCAAAAGCGTGCTAGAGCCACCGAAGTTCTCTGAACTCCGAATCAACAATTATTAGACATCATCCCGTCAGTACGGGAGGACACGTGAAGTTATATCTGCTCTTTATGTACATTATTTGAACACCATCCTGCCGACAGACGATCGAACAGTCTACTTCGTAGAAGGCTACTCCCTTCACTTTTATATCCTCTGCTCGTTGACCAAAACCTTGAGCTCATATTAAGGCGTCAATTCAGGACAACCAACCACGAGACCAGGAAAGTCGGGATGCGAATCAGTCTAGAGTATATTAGCAAAGTCAACAATCGCAGCTTAATCAGATTACATACTTTCTTCTTCTTCCTCATCTTCATCCTCTTCCTCTTTATCCACATGATCTCCTCTTCCAGCAGCAGCAGCAGCAGCATCCGCTCTCGCCTGTATTCTCCGCTCCTCCTCAATTCGTACATCACGAATACCCTGTGCGACCCCATTCAGACCCGCAATCGCGCCAGCTATATCACAATCGTATTAGCAAGTCTCTAAAGATGATTAGGGGAATAAGAGGGATTTACTCAAGGCATCAAACATGGTATCCACATAATCGTTGAGATCCTCTGCAGCGGGTGTTACCGTGCCCGAGGACTCTGCGGGTTTCTTAGACTTGGACACCCGGGAGGATTTCTCCCCGGAAGATTTTGCCTTGGGTTTGACAATATACGGCTTCGATGTAGTTGTCGATCGATTGGTGTTGGACTCCCGCTTTTTGAGAGCATATTTTCCTTTGGCGTCAGGAAATCCACCCGTGGAAGATGTGCCGGATGCTTGCATTTCTCCAGCACCGCCAACGGGAATCGCGTGGGAAGCGCCGGGGCCGGCTCCTAGGGAGGAGCCACTGGAGATTCCTGAGTGTGGAGCGTAGGAGGTGCTTCCCGGCTGGTATAGGTCGGCGATGGGGAGAGGTGTGAGGGTAGGGAGGTTTCTGCCGTTGAAGAGGCTTTCGGGGGTGGAGACGGGGGGGTTGAGTTGGGGGGTGTAGGGGTAGAAGGGGGGGTGGATTGGTGGCGGGATGGGGTGCCGGGGTTGTGGCGGAGCTGGGGTGGTGTGGGGTGTGGCTGTTGTTTTTGTTGTGCTTGTTCTAGCTGTGGTTGTTGTGGTTGTGATTGAGGGGTTTTGGCGAGTTGGGGGTTGAGGGGAGAGAGGGAGGGGTATGCTGGGGGTTTGTTAGTTTGGATGGGTATGGGGATGAGAGAGAGGGAGAGGGAGAGAGGGAGAGAGGGAGAGAGAATCAACATACCCAGTGGCCTCTCTTTGAGTTTCTCTTGAATCCCTATCTGTAGAATGTGTTAGTCAAGTGAAAATGTTACTACATCAGGTAAGTTTCGAAGGGTGTCAGGAGTTATACATACTGCGACTGCGCTTCGCAGAACCGTCTCCTTGACGATCCATTTTGACAGTTGTGTATGTAGTTTATTCTTTGCTTCGTTTGGAGATACAATAGTACAAAGATATGGGAAGCTGAAAGCACAATAAACTTTATCAAACTTGAAGTGCAAGCAAATTGTATAGTATGATATGATACAGAGAGCTCAGTAGTATCTTACAAAGAAATGAGTGTTTCGAAATGGATAGTAGAAACAATGTATCTGGAGAAAGAAGAAGTGTTTTCTGATACAGAAGGAGAGGAATGAACATAGGTATTGAGGGGGTATATATAAACATTTGTGAACAAGCTTCCCCGCTTCTCATGACATTTCTACAGTAGCTAAGATTGGTACTTTGAGGGGTTTGATTACTTGACAGAAGAGACAACCCGAAGCCGAAGCCGAAATTAGATTTGTTTTGGTTGGTATTAGATTGACCTCTGGGTATCTCGAATATTAGAGAGGGGAAATGGTGAAGTAGAGCATTGGATGAGGGGGTACTTTGATATTGCTATATGATAACTAACTAGTAAGAATACTAACTTATAATGAGATGAATGAATGAATGAGTAGTATATATTGATACTGAGTTTTTTCTTGGAGAGGCATTTGTATAAACTAAATAGTTCTTTTGTATTTGATGATGAGTCAAATTGAGGTATTCAAGAAGACAATGTTAACAAAGATTGTCTGACTACTCTCTAATTCTCTTTCCTATGAAATATTTACTATTTGCTCTCCATCTAGAAACCATCATCAATACATTCATCAAACCATCCAACAAACCACATAACTGTATACATTCATCACAAACTTTCTAGTTACCTACAGATTCACTTCTCGGTCTTCGGTCTTCGGAGTGATGATTCTACTCTTGGAGGTACCTATCATGATCTGATATCCATCTTCTCATTTCCTATCTATAACATTCACTTTGGGAAAGAGACACAAGAAAGAGGTTTGAAGGAAACTTGGAAAAAAGTGGCGGAGTCAATGAATGTTCGGGATTTCTCTTGAATGGTTTCTGGTAGGTAGTTTTATCATTTCTAATTTTTCGCTTTCTCTTTCTTCTCCTTTCTTTGCTCTCATCTATCTTCTCACAGTACGAATCCCCCTTCACACACAACGATACCCTACAAACAAAACACTCAAACCAACCACCCGTCACTCTCCTGAAATGTTTGTTCCCTTCCCTACAATCAACTTTTTGACAATCCTGTCTTTTCTCTTCATCATTGTGTCTGGAAATCCTATCAAGCGCAGAGAGGAAGAAGCTACAGGAGTGAGAATATCAGGTCTTTTCGGTCTCTTTACTACAGTTGCTACTTCTGCTTTGACGACTGGTGAACAAGTAAGTTCTGGACTTCCTTCCTAACATGATTATTTGATGATCTTACCCTTCTCTTTCCACATCACCCTATCACCGATTTCCTCAGCCCTAAATCACTCAAAATAGCCACTCGATCAGCCTTCCAAGAAAAACACCATCACTAATCCTATCACCAACCCAACAGGTCGGTATCGTCATCCTCTCAAGCCAAACCATCTACATCCAAGAACCCAACAATTTACCCGCCACAGAATGGGGCGTACCGGAGCCCACACGCTCCAGCTCCAGCTCCAGCTCCTACGCAGCTGGAGCTGTTGCTGTGACTGGCACATTTGGGAATACACCATATAGTTTTCCTACCTCTGGTTTCCCTGCCGCGAGCACGCAGGTTGATGCTTCTTCGTCTGAAGCTTCTTTTACTGATGCTCCGGCTCCGGCTCCTGCTTCTGCTTCTTCATCCGAAGATTCTTTCACCGAGACTCCTGCATCTTCATCTGCATCAGCATCAACGGACTCAACACTGATCCTAACACCCATCATCGAAGACGAACAACAAAGCGCCGCCACAACAACATCATGCAACCCCGCCATTGCAGGCGTAACAATCCCCGCTAGCGCTCTCACAACCGGCGAATACGTCGCAGTGGAAGTTCTCTGCGAGGAAACAATCTACATCCAAGAGCCTAATTTCTATCCCACCAAGACCTGGTATGGTATCTCCGCCTCCTGGACACTAAATACCACGGTCACCACAGCCACATCTACATCCACGATGTGCAATACCACAGTTGCCGGTGTTACTATTCCCACCAGTGCCCTCACGACCGGAGAACTCGTCGCTGTGGAAACTCTTTGTGGCGAGACGATCTATATTCAAGAGCCTAATTTTTATCCCACCAAGACTTATTACGGTGTTTCCGATGCTGCTTCGACGAGTATGACTACAACTTCTGCAACGAGTGCATCTCCATCAAGCATGACTATGGATGTTGGATCGCAGGTACTGAATGCCCGCGCCGGAGATGGTGTACCGTTTTTTGCGAATAACATGCCGACTTCTCTGCGTCATGTGAATGCGAATCGGATTCAAAGTGTTGCAAGTGGTGGTGCTGAGGCTTTTGAGTAGAAAGTTTGTATCAAAATGAATATGGGAGATTCGCAGTACGTGTGTATTCGAAGATTATTTCACATGTATTGTGGCAAGCTCTAGTATAATGAAGGCAAACAAGCGCAAGAGTTTCAAATATTCATGACTTTGTTATGGGGAAATGATGTGATTTTCAAAACTTGCTCTTGTTTGAGCGATTTGCTTGAAGAGCTAAAAGCTTTGAATGTAACGATAGTATAGATGACACTTGTCATTATGGCATTAGAATGTAAATAGAAGAGTGCCCTCACAAATGCAAGTGAAAATGATTGACAAAAAATGTGAAATGATATCAGATGATGGAGCTACCTAGGTTTCTGCAACTGTATCTGATAGCAGAAGACTGCTTTTGGTGAACCTTTGACCAGAGAATCTGACAAGTTGACTATTGTGTATAACTGAGGAATAAGCGCGACTATCTGCAGAAATCATGCTAGTATTGATCGTGGTTGTGATAAATCGGTTATCGCCCGCCGAAAGATGGTTAAGTTTGAGATTCCCATGAAAGATGCTCCTTCATAGCCTTTCCTATATCGCTGTTAAAGTTGGAAAACCAATCATGAGACCACCCATCCTCCATATCCTCTAATTTCAAGACTTTCCATCGTGATCCTGCATTCATCTATCTTGACACGATTTTGATAATCAAGCTAACCCGCACCCTATTTCCAGAAATTTGGGACCTTCGAAATTATTAGTTTCTTATCATACTTTACATCTTATTTTATCCATGAATTTTCTCAAGGTATTCATCTCAAATGGATCCATCAACCCCCAAACTCCAAGCAACGCAAATTTTCCCACGTCCAAAACTCCAACCATGCACAACCTCCTTCTCGGATCCTCTATAACAAATCAAAATCATCCAATTTCTCTCTGTATTTCAAGATATTCCTCTTGATCTTCGAGCCATCTACCCAAGTAACGAAATCTTCCATGCTTCTCGTAACTAAAAATGCCGTGTCGGTGATAGTTTCCGTACCCACTCTAACATGTCCTTGCTCGATAATCTTATTCGCAGCCTGTACTGTCTCTGCCATTCTTAATCTTGTCATTACAACCGGTAAACGTCTTCGACAGAATGCGGAAACAGTAACGTGCGATTCAACGGAGGAAAGTTTGGAAGTGGAAGCGGTGGAGGGGAGAATTCCCATATCGTGAAGTTTAGACAGGAGGAGCTGTTCATGCTTTAGACGGACTTGAGAATCGGGAGGTAAGAGTGTGAGTTTGTGGGCGAGTTGACGGAGAGACTATTCATATGTATATATTAGTACCTGATGGTTCCTATCATTGGAACAAGAAACTTACACCGCAAAGTCTATTGTATTTTTGATAATCCCCAGGTTTCTGGATCGCATATCTTCGTATCACAGCCGCATCTCGATGATTGTTATCCGATGCGTAGGTTGTGAAGTCCACTTTTCGGAGGAGCTTTTGCTCATGATGCTTAAGTTTACGAACCATATTGTGAAATTGAGTTCAGTTGAAAGAGTTGAGAGATGTTATGTCTGGCGCAAATGTTTGATGTCTATCATTATTCCATTGTAGATATCGAAATAAATTTTTGCGGGTCATCGGAATAACCATCTCCGATGCGGGGTTTCGGCCCGCTTTGGACCTCAAGATTTTGGTATTGAGCAACACCAAGTGGTCCTGATATTGAATCGTTCAAGTATAGCAACCATGCCTCCTCGACTACAATGTTTAAATGCCGCGCGCAATGCGGTCTCATCGCCGTTCCTCGGAATGCGATTTTCAACCAGTAGGATTATGTCGGCTGGTATGTCAATTACCATTCAAAAATCTCTCCACCATGAAGCCAATTGCTAATGCTCCTCGCAGAACTTCCTCCAAGATCCGACACATCCCCCTCAGAAGCGATAGGTTATGATAGTCTGATGTCTCTTATAAACAAAGCTCAAGAGAAGGGCCACGAGCGACGCAAGGCATTATTAGCCAATTCTAGGGTGCAGCAAACTGCGGCTCAGGAATACGAAGACAATGTTTCGAAATCAGCTCTGACAAAACAAATACATAGAAGATGGAGAGCTGGAGATGTGTATGCGCCACATGATTTGAGTGGGATAGAAATGGCGAAATGGAAGAAGAGAGGAAAGGTTACGAGGGATGTTTTTGATGTGGTGGCTTTTGACCCTATAGCTACGGGGAGTTACAAGGTTAGTTTTTCTTTCGTGGATTGAGAAAGTAGAATGATATGGCCATTTTTGAGAGAAGCTTGAGTAGGACTAATAGATGTTTTAGAATTTCTCAATCATGTCAGAATATGTAACGCCGATGGGAAGGATTAGAGGAAGTAAGGAAACGGGATTGAGACCGGTTAATCAGAGAAAAATTGCCAAGGCAATTAGGAGATCTATTGGTTTGGGTATGATGCCGAGTGTGCATAGACATCCAGAGGTCCTTTACAAGGCGAGGGAGAAGGCTGAGATGAACGATAATTACAAACGAGGTACATTGGTGTAGGGTATTTGCAGGGTGGCAGAAATGAAGGAATGTATGATATATGTCGACTTGGTCGCAAACATGCGCCCGGTCGGTGGAGCTGGCCGCAATGATATCGAATTTAAGTGCACATCAATAGTGGTCACGGAACACACGGCATCAACCAAATGAGGAGGCCCACTTCCGTGAAGTTACTATCATGCCATCAGCCGTTTGACGTTACCACTGGCGAAGCTACCCCTGTCACGCCGAATTTCTCAAGTCGAAGAGTATGCGTTGGCGAGGGGGCTGATTCCTTCATACTATATGAGCGCTTTTGGGATGTGTTTTGATGGATATCCATACAAATTCAATAACGATTTAACAAAGAAAAAAACAATATTTGGCTCTGCAAGTGTATGAACACATACCATATTTATGCCTCAATTATTAGGCCATAGGCCTGGATAGGTACCCAGGTAGGTATCCTTGAAGTCGGAAGCCGTACAAACAAAACATCGCCATTATTCCAACAGACTAGTTATCAATACTCCGGTCTCTAGGTTAACTCTTCCACTATAGATAAGTTTTAAATTTCTTAGAATTTATTCAAAAGCTTTGATATTTCATTCTAAACAAATTCATCCATCCACCTTACCTTCAATCAGCCTAACTCAAAATGAGTCTCTCGCGTCCTTCCTTTTTACTAAATTGGACCCGAAAACCTTTCCAAAGATCTTTCAAGGCTCTTACTACGAAAACTTCCCATACTCATCGGACTTATTCTACTGCCAACGACCCGAATGTGTCAAATTCTGACTTCGGCGATGATCTAATTCCCAAGCACAGCATCTATTATGAAGAGTCAATGAAGATAATTAGTAAAATCGAGAAGGAGCTCGAGGAAAAACGTCTTTTAACGGAACAAGTGAATATGCTAGAGTTGATTAGGTTGAGATCAATGTATTTCAGAATGGTGAAGGAGAAGGGAACTGTACTTAGGAAACAACAGTCGCAACTAGATACTATGGAGATGGAACGCAGACAGACCTTTAAAGTTTTCTTACCAAACTCACTCCGCCAAGCCAATAAATTCCCGCAGTTGGAAATCATCTTTGTCGCTACCTTCGGAATTTCAAAGGACGACGTCAAACCTTTGTTGGTAATGGACGAACGTTGTGATGAGAAATTCAGAGTACAGTATACTTTGGAAGGTCATGGAATGATTTTCAATCATCTCATGCCGGACAAATTTCCACCAATATTCAAAGAATGGCTGGAGACGATTCGAGAGGTCAAAGGCCAAATCGACAATGCAGAAGTGGCATATGGAGGAAGCGCCGACATCGAGGACGACGATGAACCAACGGCGCTGGATTTAATTTCCAAAGTTGATGTCAGATTGTATTTGAAAGCTAAGGAATTAGCTGAGGCTTGCGACCTCGCTTACTCTGATGATTTTAAGACTTCTGGTAAATCTACTTATCCCCTTTGGGAATACAAGGATAGAATGATTGCAGAATGGGAAGAAAGGGAATTGATGCCAGAGTTGATGGCGGCTGCAAAGGCCAATAGGAAGATCTACTGGAGGTATCTATGAGGTTTCCAGTTGTATTAGATGGTGTAGAGATTTGGGGGAAGTGGGAAAGGAGGTGGGACCTCGCCTCGCAAAACTGTTCTGTCACGACAACATAATGTCCCTCTTTAAATAGCAAAACTCCCCGCTCTATAATATAAGTATTGGTAGTGATACTGACAGACCATACATGTAGTTATCACATGAACTTGTGATTTTGAATGTTGCAAAATGTGAGATTGTCCCGTGAAAATCGACAGCCGAGAAAGCAATTGGCCAATCTCTTACGAACAATCGAGGATTTTTAAAAACTCCACAATATCTCAATAGTTAATGAGACAAACTTGTGCAAAAAGGAATTCGGTGTCAAAACCTGATTTACAGGGGCTTCCTTTGGAGTCTCGCAGAAGAATGCAAAGGAGCCTTTTTTGTATTATAGCAAGTCTCTTCCGTAACTTCTATTGCTTGAGAAATAAGCGAAAAACTGAAATACATCCATAGAACAGGGGATATCTCGACGACCAATAATAGGCAGATAAACTAAAATAATGTTCATGACTGCGTTGAAACCGAGTTCGGAGAAGCGTTTTCTTGAGAATCACGGAACAATTTGATGGATATACAACATAACATTTCCTAAAGAAATTGAGATTCCTGTGATCTAGCTCGTGCAGATCAGGAAACGAAACCGAGGATATCTCGTCTGAATTATTGGGATACCGGGCAGGCAACACTTATATGAGTGTGAGATTCGGACCTGAAAGATAAGGATAATTGTATTCGTGTATGCCAAATAGCGTGGTTGAGTAAGAAAAAACTATCTGTAGTTATGATTGATCAGCTTATGCTATCGAGATAGTTCTATTGGAAATGAAAACAAGTTGATATCTCAGTCATGAGTGTCCGATTCTTCTGATTATGTACCTATTCCGGGTAATTATACACAGAGGAATGGAAAAGATTGGACGCCAGTGCAAGTTATGCAGTGTATAGAAGATGTGAGTTTCAATGAGGGGGAAATTTGAGGCTTCGATTGTGGCTTTTTATTGCAATGATCGATCGATTTTAATCGTCAGAAAGAGAAAATGTCATTGAATTTCACAAGAAATCCGTAGGTTCATTTTCAGTCACTAGCAATATTCTAATCAAATCTGATACTATCCCGCCTCTTCTTGAGCCCAAATTGAAAATCTCAAAATTCACTTCTTCTCAGAATATACGACAAAGGTTACCGAGCTTTAAATGGGCCCAAAAAGCTTTTTGGCCCCAGAGAATTTTGATGTTAATTGTCAAAACACAGTTCTTGTGAAGACAAAAAAGAGGTGCAAAAAAATGTGGTGGTCTAGCTGTCGTATTCGGGAGGAAGGAGTTATACATACGTTCGAATTGGTGAACAACTATTCCAAGCGCCCATTTGCTCCGATCTATGCGATCCTGTATCAATTGCTGGTCTATATGACCTCTTATAAATTGCTAAATTGCTAAGTTGCTAATTTCTAGTCTATGCGACCACTAAAGTCGAATGATTCGATTTCTCAAATCATCCTTTGCTAACTGTGATCTCGTAAATTATGATGGGTGTTTCATAATCATACGAAGGGGTGGCGGATGGCTGTCTGCATTCTGTGGCAACTGTTAGCTTAAATTGTGAATTCTATTTTGACTCGAGCGGTGAATTAGACAGCTAGACCACAAGATGTGTTTGTTTTGACGGTTTCAGCCTCTGAAAAATATAAAGCAGCGGTAGCGAAGCGCTTGTTAAGGGAGAATTACGAGGCTCAGTTTGGTCATTTGGGTCTTAGGTAGAGCAAGCGATCAAATCAAGTTCAACAGTACGAAATTTGAGCAAGCACCCGCGCAGTGTACGCCAGATTTTTATATATTACTATAGAATTTATAGACAAGCTATATTTTGGGCGTATTATTTAAGATTTCATAATGAAGATTTGATTCGGTTTAAGGAGACAGGAATAGTATCCTCGATTTTGCCGTTTATGTGTAGAATCTACGCAGACACACCAAGTCATATTTGAGCTTCTATACTTGCGATGGAAATTCCAAAACACAATTGATGGCGTAGAGATTTGGAAATTCGGAGGCTTCGTTCCACAATGCAAGAATTGTAGCCCAGGCGATTCATTTATGCTATGAAGGCTCTCGCTGCTATTGGGAACATGAGCAAGGTAGGGAACCATGTAGCAACATGATGTTCTATACTTTTGAGATCACGCTTTGTGCTGTACTTCCAAGGGAGTATTATACTCGGGAGAGCAATTCTAGAATCCCTTACCATACAAACGGAGGGGTTTAGATGAGCGAAGGTAATCGCCACTTTCGATGCATTTGCCAATCCTCAACCAAAGTCCCAACCTAGAGTTTTGTTTGTTCAAGGGTCTTACTTAAGCTTTATGAAATCAGTATGCACAATACACATAGTTCTATGCGCATCGAGGTAGTGTTTGTCTTTGGTTTGCGGGATCTAGAACGGGAAGCGTGATAGTTCCACTGAAAACTTTCTACACTTGTAGAAAATAGAATTAGAGATGACATACTAATAAATACGCTGATTTTTTTAATTCAAAAAACAAGAGCCTGCGTTAGTGTCCTACCTTATATTACTCATTTAAAATGCAAGAAGTCAGGGTGGTCTAGTGGGATAGAACTAGCTTACATGAACCAAACCTCTATACAGAAACGAAAACCTTGGATACCAACTATGAAGTACCAGGCGTCAGTCTTCTGTGCTTTGAAGCCATGAGTATAACTTTAAGATAACTATATGTGACAATGTCTTTGACTGCGGCTCCCAATGATCCAAGGAGACTTCCCAAGGCCAAGATAATAGACTGCACAGATCTTCAAGCTTAGAGAATATTCCCGAAGGAGAAGAGAGTCGATACTATGTCTTCTTTTACTAAACTCTTACTCAAATACAACTAAGAAAGTATTACTATAGTTGCTTTCACACAGAAGGAAGAGGCAAAAGAAATTACCAAGCGAGGTCTGAATCTGCTGAAGTTGTGTTGTGAGCCATATGGACCGTGCGCAAGTGGATCCACAATGATTACATAAATACTTCAAAACGGCTGCTACTCAATCGCTAGGCTGTCGGGGATTGATATACTATTTATTTACTCTCAGCCTTGCATCTTTTCTCGAGGTTTCATTATTTCAATGCTTTGAACCTTGAATTTTTGATACAATAACATTCGCAATTATGTCTGGTCGACGCGATTTCCTCAGTCAAAAGGCGCCAGAAAATTATGTCGCTGGTTTAGGTCGAGGAGCGACAGGATTTACAACACGATCTGATTTAGGTCCTGCGCGAGAGGGACCAAGTGAAGATCAAATCAAAGAGGCTCTTGCAAAGCGCGCTGCTCAACTCGGTCAAGCAGCTCCTACAGCATACGGAGCTACAGAAAAAAAAGATGATGATGAGGACGATGAGCGCTTCCAGGATCCGGACAATGAAGTTGGGTTATTTTCAGGTGGCGTTTATGACAAGGACGATGATGAAGCAGATAGGATCTACCAGGAAGTAGATGAGAAGATGGATAGAAGGCGGAAAATTAGAAGGTTTGTCTCCCCATTTATTTCGAGTCCCCATCATCCAATGCATTTGGTTTATCATATGAAAATAGATGAGCAGATTACCGACGAGTTTACCTACAGGGAAGCACGAGAAAAAGCAGAAAGGGAAGAATACGAACGCAATAATCCCAAAATTCAACAACAATTCGCGGACCTGAAACGAGCATTACGAACAGTCAGTGATGAAGATTGGGCAAACTTACCGGAAGTGGGTGATTTGACTGGCAAAAATCGACGAAGCAAGCAAGAATTGAGAAAGAGGTTTTATGCCGTCCCTGATAGTGTTATTGCTGGAGCTCGGGACACAACTGAGTTGGGGACCACTGTAATGGATGATGGGGGAGAGAGTGCAGCAGGAGATGGACCTGATGGAACTATGACCAATTTTGCGGATATTGGAGCGGCGAGAGATAAAGTACTCAAAGTAAAACTCGATCAAGCGTCTCAAGGCACCGACTCAATGTCTGGCAGTGCGACCAACATCGACCCGAAAGGATATCTTACAAGTTTAGCCAAATCTCAAATTAACGAGGGAGAAACCCAAGTTGGTGATATCGTCCGTGTACGAACTCTGCTGGAGTCTGTTATCAAAACGAATCCAAAGCATGCTCCAGGATGGATTGCAGCTGCTCGTGTCGAAGAGCTTGCAGGAAAAACTGTAGCGGCACGTAATATAATCGCACGTGGTTGTGAGTATTGTCCTAAGAGCGAGGATATCTGGCTGGAGAACATTCGATTAAATGACAACCACAACGCAAAGATTATTGCCGCAAATGCCATCAGAAATAACGATCGTTCAGTGCGGTTATGGGTTGAATCGATGAAATTGGAATCAGAACCCAGGGCCAAGAAACGAGTCATTAGGCACGCGTTAGATCACATTCCTCAATCTGTGAATCTCTGGAAAGAAGCTGTCAATCTCGAGGAAGATCCCAGTGATGCACGTCTGCTTCTTGCAAAAGCCACCGAGATCATTCCCCTTTCAGTTGAGTTATGGTTAGCGCTTGCAAGGTTAGAAACATCCGAAAATGCACAAAAGGTCCTCAATAAGGCTCGCAAAGCTATACCTACTTCTCATGAAATTTGGATAGCTGCTGCCCGTCTTGGTGAGCAAATGGGCACAGCGTCTAAAATAAATGTCATGAACCGTGCTGTTAAAGCTTTAGCAAAGGAGTCTGCCATGTTAAAAAGAGAAGACTGGATTACTGAAGCAGAAAAGTGTGAGGAAGAGGGAGCAGTTCTGACTTGTGGTAACATCATTCGTGAAACACTTGGATGGGGACTGGACGAAGATGATGATAGAAAAGACATTTGGATGGAGGATGCAAAAGCTAGCATCAACCGTGGGAAATATGAAACTGCTCGTGCTATTTATGCTTATGCACTTCGAGTATTTGTTACTAGCACAAAGCTTTGGCTTGCAGCTGCAGACC